AACGCGAGAGACAAACCTCTGGTACCCAAAGTAGGCCATCCCACCTTTGAAAGAAAAGAGTCCCATAGTGGAGATTAACACTAGACCGATCCCTTCACACAAAACAAAGCTACAATAATTTTGAAAATTGGTCTCACACTCGAAATGATGCAACTTTTAAGCGGTCTTTACATAATATAGAGTAATCATAAAAATTAAACTCCAGATATAAAACACGCTGTGCTTAACGAAATTATAACCTACAAGATACTAACTACAAAAACTGGTATGATGGCAACATCTCACTAGTGGGTATGGGTAAGAGAGCTGCCGTTACTTTAGATATTACAGTTCATTAATTATTTTTATCCGTAAACATAAAACTTACCAGCCATGTAATTATTGTACCCTTTCAGCTTTAAATTTAGACTACAAAACAGTCGGTTTTTTTCTCAAAATCAGTACAGAAATCGGTCTTACCTCTTACGCGCGCGAAGCGCGAGCCTCACACGCCCGTAGGCGTGTGAGGCGAGAGGAAAAAAACCGTATTTTTAGCGTCTCTCCCAGTCTCGCTCTCTGTTTTCAGCCTCGTTCCAGACCTTATGTTTAACTGCTCGCGCTTACTTACATACGCAAAAATACGGACTGTTTTGCAGTCTACTCTAAATTTCCATTGTTCAATTTTATTCTATAAAATATTTTATATTTGGATAAAATTATAGTCATACTTTTTAGTTAAACTATTAAGGATAACTGTAGCTTGCGAACAAGCTTTCCATTTATGGTGAGCAAAGCGAGAAGCGAGAGAACGCGCGAGTGAGTGGCGAAGCCGCAAGGGGCACCCCTCGCACTCGCGTCTCCTTTCGCGTGCTGCTCTCACATGAGTTCTCGCGACCTGACTACCCCAAATGGAGAGCTTGCTAGCAGGCTATGATAACTGTCAGCAACATGGTTGCCATGATTTTATACTTTTCTACTTTGTTCTGTAATAGTCTCTGTATTGACTGTGAAACTCCGAAACCCGTGAACACCATAAATACTTGGGAACGTTATGGTGATGCAAGGAAAAAGCCATTCACTTGTGAGAAAGCGCTTGTAGCGCGCTCTCGTATCCTGATCTTTGCTCAATATGATTGTTATAACACAACTGCACCAACTGTACAAACATGAAAGATTCACCTACGGACGTATAACATTAAGATCACGACACAGGTTAAGTTTTGTCTTAAAGGAAACGGAAAATCTACTTATCGAATTTAGAATCCGGATTTAGATTCACTGAAATGACCGCTATGAATATTAAAACATTTCACAAAGAGAACGCTTATTGTCCGAAGGAACCACGCCCATTGGTCACACGCTACATCACGTGTTAACTTTGTAAACATACGGCTTCTTTTGCTTCATTCTTCATCTACCATCTGGCTGTTCACGTGGTACCCACGTGGATTGCACGGGTTGATCAGCGCAGCAGCTGTCGAGCCAAGCCAGTAAGCGAATCAGCGAAGTGAAAGCGTCCCTCACGATAGTTCCGATACAAAAGTGCACCAAACAGCACAACAACAACCACGATTGGCGCGTAAATGCCCCACGCAGACTTCGTGTTCACGCAGATACACACGCTGAAAACCACGAGCACGAGAAGAAGATAACCCGCCAAAAAGAGCTGATACGTTGGAATCTCATGTATTCTGACCCGAAAATTAAAATTCGGACTGACAACTGTGCACACTGAGGCCAATTCCTCTTCAGAGGTTCTGTCAACTTCTATAGAGTCTTGGGTATCACCGCCGTTGAGCGGGAATTGATCACAGTCATTAACTTCCAGGGCATCTTCATTCAAAGAGCTCTGACTTCCGTATGTTGTTCGTGACGTCATTGCAGCCCTCCTTGGTTGTGGTTTAGGATACCAGATAACCTGATAAAATAAAGGATAGTCGAGTATAAGGGATACATTTTAACTATTGCTAAAAGAATTAAGAAAGGAGCACGGTTCTAGTTAAGGTGGCTAGCAGAGATTCCCACCTTTAACAATGAAGCAAATGGCATAAATCACACAAAAACTGAACTGTGCGATATTCACAAAAAAGTCATGCCAACACCATGGCAACAGTATAGCTCCCTAAAGCCATGTTGACTCAAATACATTTTTGAAAAGCTCCTCATCCACACTAACGTTTACACATCATTGTTGACTTGACCTTCCACACTGAGCTTAAATGCAACACAGAAGAAGGGTTATATACCTAGTGTCTGTTTCTTCAAAACATTTATGACACTTTTTGATACTTTGTTGTTATCATCCTATCAGCCATCTTGTGAGACGTTTGTTTTCCAAGGTTAGTCTCAACTGTGTAGTTTTCAATTTACTGCCTAGCTGCCAGGTCATGCTTGGCTAGAGTGGTCTGTCCATACTAACATTTTCAACAGCATTTTCAAAAACCTTTTTTCTTACCTTTATAGTGTGGATACAAGGCCAAAATGAACAAAAATGACTGTGAGTTCCAACAGAAGTGTACTACTAGTACCGACAGGGTCAAACAACCCTTTTACCCTCAGAGTGTGGGGTTGAAATCCTGCATTTTGACAATTCAAATGACACCTCAATGGGACTACTTTCACATAATACTATCTGTTTTTCAGGAATTTACAAAATGAAAATGTTTTTAGTTTTTGTCCCCTTTTTGTGGTAAAGGGATGAAGACACTGTACATTAATTAACTTGCCTGAATTCCATTGATATAAGCCAGTGTACTTGAGAAGTATGTCATGACCACATATTGCGATGGTAACAGCAGAAGATAGTTGGACAAAATATCTGTTGTTTTACCCATAAGTCCCAGGACAACAGAGAGCGTGGCCTGTCCACTTGTTGTACGGAGACGCATGTTCAAAATGACCTGAGTAATTAACAAAAATACAGTTGTAAGATGAGACAGGAATGATCTGAAGCTCTCTTTTATGTCAGCAAATGAAGCTTAAAAGGAATCACAAGAAAGTAAAAGTAGTGAAAGTATTGTAAATTATTTTAGTATCACCTGCAGACAGTTCATTTGCTGATTGACAATATGACTGGTGGAAAACAAGAAAATGACTCTGGGATAGAAGTAACGACTCCCAGGATAATTGTCTCTTCTTCCGTAACGAGGGGGTGTGGACTAGACTGCCAAGTAAGAAAAAAAACTTATAGAAACTGGGGTAAGCCCACGTTCAAATTCATCATTATCATCATCATCACTTTCATTTTTTATACACGGTAAAAGATCAGGCTAAATATATACAAATATGGTTAAGTACATATACTTTGAAATCCCAAAATATTACAAACTATTGAATTAATAGTAATATAGAACTTACAATAATGAATGTTGAAATAAAATTAATTAATTTATTATATTAAGGCCTGTTTTCCATGAATGCCTTGCTCGAGCTAGAAGTTAACATTTTCCGAAAGCTAGTCAAAGATTTTGCTTGTCTTACATCAGACAGCAAAATTATTTAATAATTGTTCCACAGAACAGCCCCCCACTGTAGCAGAAGCTATTTCTATAGTATTATTGGTTCATGGCAAGGGAACAGCAAGCTTATTTTCAGAATCTCTAAGTTTGTAGGAATTAAAATTAATATATCACTGTGTAGAATAAATTTTGATGACAGGTAATCAGTTGCAAGGTAATTCAAAGATTTATACACCATCCCAGCCTTATGACTTATCTCCATACATTTTGATAAAGACTTAGATGACAGAAAAGTCCAGTTTCAAAATCATTGCAGCCACTTAATAGAAGCACTTAAGACTCATTTATGCAGGGTTAGCCTCGACCCAAGGTAAATATATTCACAAATCCCAGTCAGAAGAAGACCTGTGTACAACTGTGTCTATCGTTTTAAACGCAAATTCAGGGACCATCTCGCTGGTATTTGTGAATATTTTACTTTAGGTCAAAAGTAACCCTGAATAAATGAGTCTTCAGTGCTTCTATTCAGTGGCAGCAACAAATTTTTTCAAGTTTCAAATTAGGTTCCACAAATCTTATGTGAAGCACTTTTCAGACCTCCGTCTCAATGTAGTCCCGAGAATTACTGGGCCTGGAAAGCTTTTGTTCTTTACATTCAAGGTCAAGGTTTCAGTAGATTTGTAGATAACATGCTAAATAAAATGGACTGATTTGTTGCCTTGGACCTGCTCTTTTATTGTTTAGATTTTGATTTGAATATTTGATTTAGGGTCCAAAAAGTTACCACAACTTTCAAGAAATGGGCCTCAGGAAGCAAAATTTGCATTTATCACACCCTGGAAACCCCATTATTGGCGCTTTATAAATGCTTTATGCCTGCTTCTTTTGACCGATACATGAGTACTTTACACACCTGCCTTCTCCAGACAAGGAAAAGCATTGCATTGCATTGGGCCACCATACAAGTGAATACACATCAAGTCGATCTGAACCAGCCTGTTACAGTGCAAGTACTGTAACTGGGGCCACCTAGACAAATTTGACCAATCAGATTACAAGAAAATAACAATACATGCCAAGTAAGTTGGTTGTGGGCTACTCAGCAGCTTGTAAGAAAACAATGAGTTACTCAAGCAAAAACATTAAATATTCATCAGCAAATGTTTCTAAGAAAGCAAAATTTTCATTAGACAATGTTTTTCTGTCTGAAACTTACAAATAAAGAAGAGACAAGTTGTTATTTTGTCATCTACCAGCAACTTTGTTGCTAACATTGCCACACTTTGCAACCTCAAGTAAAAAATCTAACTGACATTTACGTTCTTTGCCACTGTCAATCACTTTGACAGACCTCTCAGGAAACATAGCTTTCTTATACCTGCCAACTTTTTTTGAGTCACCTTGTCATGACCGAGATTTCCTGAAACGTCCTGGCAACTTCCAAAGATTTAGAATGAGTTTCTGAAGACTTTCGAACATTGCCAAAAAATTAAATGTCCGCAGATGTTCCAAAGACGTTTGAGCACTTCCAAAGCTTTATCCAGCTTTGATTTCGTTAGAATGCAAACAAGGACATGAAGTCATCATGTGTTAAAATCAACTTGTCCCAATTTGTGAGTCAGGCATGAGAAATTGTCCTTGATGCGGGAGATAGATGGCTTTAGTCCACAGGCGTTAGACTCACGCATAATGCGTGAGAGTTGGCAGCTATACTTTCCTCAGTGTCTTCAAAGGGTCACATTGGAAGGTTGTAAGTAGTTGAATTTGATCCATCTTGTTTATTTCAATTTGTAGTAGTTATGAACGACAACCAACTTTGTTAGAATGCATTGTTGTTTCTGTGTAATCTGATTGGTGAACTTTATCTGGGAGGGCCCGGTTACATGTACAGTAGTCGAATAATATTAATAGTAAATAATGACGATATATTAATCATCATTTACCTGTGGAAAAGTCTCAATAGACCATAGCACAATTGCGATCCACTGAACATTTTCTTCCGCTCCATCCACGGAAAGTTCCAAAGTTATGATGGCAATCCAAATGACAAAGCAACCTGCCCCATAACATTGCTTAAAATGCATACGATTCTTCGAGTAAATCCAAAACTGAACAAGAATAAGAAACTCTAATACAGGCATGTACACGGCTGATATTTTAATATACAAAGGCAATGTGATAGAAAAAGCGAAGAACAAGTTTACTATAGAAGCTGTGAAGTTAGCAGTGGCCCATAAAATACTGAGACCTTCCACGGATTGTCGCTTCCGGTTCTTCCATATTTGTGGAGCCAAAACAATAAACCAAATCATGGTGCTGATCAAGCCACAGACATTCGCAAAAGCGCAGACACTGTGAGGCCATTCACCACGGCAGTTGGTGTCCAGAATGCTGGTACCCATTGTATTTTATGAACGGTAAAACGACATTTTTGCTCCACTAAACCCGACTGAACTGGAGATGTTAGATAAAACCGAAAGTATGACGTGGCTGTCAAACAATCTCTTCCCCAGAGCCTCTCGTTTACGAGAACTTTCCCGCCATTGATTGTGCGTTGCTGTTTCTCATCATCTTCGGGAAGGACTTTGCAAAGACGCAAAAACGTGAGTATTTTACACATTATTTCCTTTATTTCTGCTAAAATGTGAATTCATTTTCCATGCTGACCATAAAAGTAATTACTAGTTAAACAAATGGTAAGTTTTAAGAATAAAATTGCAGACAAAAAGACTGGAAATGATCCGAAAACTGATAAAATTTAGAAGTTGTGGTTTATCGTCGTTTCCATGCAGAGATAAGGATGCTTTATTTCATGTTGCGTATGAAAAAATTGATTGATTAACACTAATTTTTACGCAATTTATAGCCAAAATTTCCGGAAATTTAGGTCCAAAACCAGGAGCCGATTACTGCCAAAACTCAGTGGATCGGTTCGTTCCAACCAGAAGAGTTTCGAAAAAACTGGTCCACCTTTTGAGGTGGACCACTTTTCCCGGTCGCACCGGTCGGAATTTTGGTTGAATGGATCGCACCCATGGACATTGAAGATCTGGGCAGATCCGCCCTGTTGGAGATCATTGCAGTTTGACTCTTTTTGAATACGAGGATACAAGTTACATATAGGATTTATCGGCCCTGTAGTTAGCCAAATGCCAGTGCGACAGATCACTAAACCTCCAATTTTTAAAAAGAATATTACGTTGAATTTCGGAAAGGGCTGTAAGGAAACGGTAGTGATTTCTTTCATACCCTTACGATGAGCTTGAGAACAAGGTTAACCAATATTGTGTGGTTTGTGACTAATCGAAAAAACTCATCTTAGAACGCCGAGGGCTAAAGATAGTTTTTTTTTTTTATATCACTTTTACCGAAGAATATGCTTAATTATCCCTGAACAATGCATCGCCGTACAGGCTCAAATTCTGACCAAATTTTGCTGGAATGACGGGTCAAAAAGTGCACAAAAAATGTTATTAAAACGAGGCACTTGTCAACTGTGGTCATTGACAACGAAACCCGTTGAATGGACCTTTTCTAACCATTTCCTGTAAGGCATAGACATGAGCACAATTCTAACCTGAGATCAGGCTCTATTTTAGTTTCGCTTCATAAATGAAATTCTGGCGGGAAAGGCGACTGACGAAAAGAGAATTTTAGCGCGACCACGTAAGAGAGAATGTATGGAAGCAAGTTGACGGAAGCTGCTAAAATTGTAGCCTGAATTTCATCCGATTACTTCGAGTCGTTATTACTCCCTCAGTAACGTCTGAATCGACCGGCCGTTAATGCGGTCCAGTGACGTCACTACTCCTTGACCTTTACTTTAATTCATGCAAAAAGTAAAACACGATTTTCAAGTGGCAAACCGAGAAATATCGTTTGGAAATGTCTGCATGACGCAGAACTGCTTTATTTTTTTCGATCGTAATTCATGTTTAACGTTCAAACTATCAACTGCATGCAGTACAACTCTGAAGCGGTTGAACTAAATTCTATAATCAAACTCGGTCGCAATCACGCAATTGAAATAAACACACACGGAACACTTAGTTCAAAAACACAATGATTTGCTTTAATTGAAAAGAAGCTGTTTGGTCCTTAATGAAGAAAAAAAAACAAGGAGACAAGAAAGAAAAGCTAACAGAATCATTACACTTGACGGTGAAAATAGCAAGAAGGTCGAATTATAACATTGATCTCAGAAAACTTCGCGAAAGCAAAATCACCGCCCGCCGAAACCACAAAGCGGCTCTAAATGAAAAACCTGCTAACTCTCCGCAATGATTCTTCATTTCCAGTTCAATTTAGCATTTCAGTTTCGAAGACAAGGGCAATTTTGCTGTTTAAGATAAAGATTAAGCTTATCCAAATGTTGAACTAAACGAAAGAATACCAGGGATGCGATCCGCTGAATATCAAGCGAAAATCCCGCTAAAATTTTTCATAATTATACATAATTATGCGAATGTTTAGACAATCAACCAATCAAAATCACTACCCGGTTTTCGGGTAGTGAGTGACGTCACTGGACGGCATTAACGGCCGGTCGATTCAGACGTTGTTGAGAGGAGAAAACGACTCGAAGCAATCGGATGAATTTCAGGCTACTAAAATTGGGCCTTTTTGGGCAATTGAGTCTTTACTATCAAACTGATTTTTTTAAAACTAACTTTGTTAATAACTTCACAAACAGTACAATACAATTAACAACAGTAATATACTAATTACACTAATTATTTTTCCAGACTGATTTTTTGCCGAAGAATTCGCTTGTCAATCATCGACCTCGTTCCCATGGTGTCTTCTCCTGGGAACGAGGTTGACCAAGTGAGGGAAAATGAGCGTCACAAACTGTGTCCAATCAGGTCATTTCCTGAGTTCCAAAAACTCTCACTTTCAAAACGAGGCTATTAATGATTCCAATTTTTTCTTGTGTGGAGAGAATAAAACTTATTTTCGAATCACTGGCTTCGCATTTAGCCTCAACCTCGTCCCCAGGGCTTTTCCCTTAAAAAATGGGTGGGGCGGGAAAAGGCCCTGGCATCGGCTGGTCACGTGTCCCCTCGTGCACCTAAAATCCTGGGTGTAATAAATTAGCGCTATGTGAAAAGCTAAAATTATGCGTAACCTCACAGCGCGCGATTTTGGGCGGCCTTTTATATCTCTTGACGATTAACGAAAAGTTTTACAAGATTTCCTTTTTGTCACAGATCCTGGCTGTGGTAATTTTTTGCTTTCCTCCGATTTCTATGGAGGGGACAGCGAGTAACATGTTTATAGAGCGATATAAATGACCAACAAGTTATCGTGCATGCATAAAGTTTGTACTGGAAAAGTCCGTTTTCGCGACTCTTCTGATATTTTATTTCATTTCTTGCGAAGTGGACCGCCGTACACAGCCTAGTTGTATGCACCTTAACTCTCAGCCATATCATATGTATTTTAAAAAAAAGTCATTGACCTCTGCGATCAGACGACTGACAACAAAGAAAGACTTGGGTCCATTTAAAATTGTCAGAGCTGTAGTTGATTTCAATCGATCGGTCAATCTTCCCTTTAATATAAGGAAAATCCTTTTGTACTTATCCTCGGAAGAGAAAAGATATAAGAGGTCTTCAAATGTTTCAGGTCGGCGACCTGTCATCGTTCCTGGCTGGAGGGCTGACTTGTATCCGGCACGGAGATTTGTTTGTTTCATGGTGGAGTTGTAGAGAAGACCAGACTCCATAAAGCATTTTGATGAACAATTCTATTTCAATTAAGTTCAATTTGTTTAAATTCACTGCAGATTTTGGAGGCAAAGGCCCGCATTTTTGTTTGACATTGGACAAAATTACTTTCCTCTTGATCGTACAGTAATGTATCGGTCAAATCGAAGCTTCAACATGCCCCCCCCCCCGGGCAACCCCCCGGGCATTTGACTTTTTTGAAAATTATTGTTCAAATTCCCCCCTACCCGGGCCAAAATGCCGTTCAAATGCCCCACACTAGGGTCCATTCAGGTGATCAAATGCCCCCACCCAGGGGACATTTCACAGGCACAAAAATGACAGAAGAACGGCGGAAACGCCTTCAGTTGTCGAACAAAATCTTTATAAATATAACAAAAACTGAGAAGCACTGTTAGCGTATTCACTACGAACAAAAGTCTCGTGCAAAGCGGCGGAAATCGCTGCTACAAGGTCACTGAATGCTCAACTTTTCTTCGTCATGCAACAATGAACATACAAAGCGTTCTATAAAAAAAGATTCCACCTGTCGAGATTACTACATCATGACCATTTCACTGACGTGCATCATCGCTCACCTTATTAATTAACATACTTGCAGTAGGTCAAAGTAGTTGACCTGAGCTTTTTAATTTATTTTATGTTGTTGTATTGAATCGCTGGTATAGGTATTGTATTTGAATGTAAACACAACAATAAAATACATTCATACATTCAAAGCCTGAATCCAATTAAAATTTTAAAATTTAAATACTTCAAATACGTCACAAAGCTTGCTTAAGCCCTTTCCTCGTAACCAATTGGCCACAAAGGCACAATCTTTTCCACGAAAATCCTCTAACACGGCGTCCCCCTTAATAGCTCACCACATTACATGAAATCGAGGGTGCAGTTCAAATTCCCCACCCCTGAAGCATGGGGATCAAATTCCCCACCCCCTGGAAGACTCTGATCATCAAATTCCCTCCTCCCCGGGATGGCAAAGGTGTCAAATGCCCGGGGTATGTCCGGGGGGTGCATGTTGAAGCTTCGATTTGACCGATACATAATTCCACAGTCACGATGAATTTCAGTCGAAACCATGGTTCAGTCGAAGTACTACACGATAACAGCTTGTCTCAACTCTGAAGCATTTGACATATTTTGTACGGGACAACGTAGAGCTGGTACGCCCCTTCATAAATTTGAAGCATATGAATAATACGCAATTAAACGGATCTTAAGCTTTTCAATCGCACACACGCGAAAATATTGACATAGTTCGCGATGTTATTATTTTCCATTGTTGCTCCGCTCGACTTCTGTCAGCGCAAAGCCAGCGGGTTGCATATATATTAGCTTGTCAGGAATATTTAGGCTGTCCACGTGACCAGCCGATGCCAGGGCCTTTTCCCGCCCCACCCATTTTTTAAGGGAAAAGCCCTGGGGACGAGGTTGGCTTCGGGTGATTGGTGGATGAGCAAATTGAGCGAGATCTATTAGCCAATCACAAAAATTTTGCGCAGCCACGCAGAACCAAAATGCAGTCACTAGATTACTTGCAACATTCGGTTGACCATGGAAAACGGCGATAAGATGTTTAAAGTCATTAAAGAAATTTTAAAAAAAGATTAAAAACGTTAAAAACATGTCAACGTTTCGACGTTCTGGGACGTTATTATCAAGTGTAAAAACATAATATAGCCATTGTCTGTAAATACAAGAAAAAAACAATAGATCATTTAAAAGAAACAGTAACATTAAAATACTTTACAACGTGTAAAATATTTTTGTTTGTTACTTTTCTTTNATAATCCGTAATTAAACGGATCTTAAGCTTTTCAATCGCACACACGCGAAAATATTGACATAGTTCGCGATCTTATTATTTTCCATTGTTGCTCCGCTCGACTTCTGTCAGCGCAAAGCCAGCGGGTTGCATATAAATTAGCTTGTCAGGAATATTTAGGCTGTCCACGTGACCAGCCGATGCCAGGGCCTTTTCCCGCCCCACCCATTTTTTAAGGGAAAAGCCCTGGGGACGAGGATGGCTTCGGGTGATTGGTGGATGAGCAAATTGAGCGAGATCTATTAGCCAATCACAAAAATTTTGCGCAGCCACGCAGAACCAAAATGCAGTCACTAGATTACTTGCAACATTCGGTTGACCATGGAAAACGGCGATAAGATGTTTAAAGTCATTAAAGAAATTTTAAAAAAAGATTAAAAACGTTAAAAACATGTCAACGTTTCGACGTTCTGGGACGTTATTATCAAGTGTAAAAACATAATATAGCCATTGTCTGTAAATACAAGAAAAAAACAATAGATCATTTAAAAGAAAAAGTAACATTAAAATACTTTACAACGTGTAAAATATTTTTGTTTGTTACTTTTCTTTATAATGATCTATTATTTTTTCTTGTATTTATAGACCATGTTTATCAGTGCAATTTTTTTCACTTGATAACGATGTCCGAGAATATCGAAACGTCGTCATGTTTTTAAGGTTTTTAAAAAATTTTTTAAACAGTTTCTGAAATTGATTTTACTATCATCTTATCGCAGTATCACCGCCATCATGCGAAGCAGCCATATAGCGAAAGGCTGTGTCGTACATAAGCCAGGCTGATGCTTTAAACTTCCTGCTAAACTTGCAAATCTGGGCCTGGTATGCGAGGAGGTCTGAGGCGAGATATGGGTAGATTAATATGGTGGAGCGCAGGAAGACATTCCAGGCTTCGAGCCAGGAGGAAAGGCCATCGATGCGGCGTTTCTTGCGCTGGGAAGGTACAAAGGCAAGGATAGTGGTGTCCTGGGGGTCAACAGTCAGGGTGAAGTTGTTCTGGGAGGAGGCGAAGGAAGGGTGTGGGTACATGGTATCTGAGAGAAGTTCATTGAAGTCAATGTACTCACGTTTGGATATCTTCGAGCGGAGTTTCTCCGGGAGCAGTGGCAGCGTAAGATGTGTTCATAGACTTGGTTGGCAACAATTTGTTGAGTGGGACCCTGGGAAGCCTGTGAAAGACTGGGCACTAACTGGCGTAGAGAAAGGCCGCCATCTTGGATGACATTGGGAAGGTTTCCACCACAGGCAGACCACCCTCTGTTAGTGGGGGGCCGTTGTTGATTGAAATCTGAGCAACGATCTTTTGTTATTTATAGAAGAAATACATATGAACAATACGGTGGCTATAATTTGTTCCAAAATGCAGAATAAAGTTTGAAGAAAATGTTAACTGAGTCATGTGTCATGTTTTTTTCGCCGTCCCGTGCTGTTTTAAGCGCTATTTTGCGAGATGAATATTTGACCTCGGCGGTTAGAACTAAAGAAGTTCTAACCGCCGAGGTCAAATTTTATAGCCACCGTATTGTTCATATGTATTTCTTCTATAAATAACAAAAGATCGTTGCTCAGATTTCAATCAACAACGGCCCCCCACTAACAGAGGGTGGACTGCCTGTGTTTCCACCTTTCAGGTACTGTTCCGTTGCGGTGATGGCCGCGATGTTCAGAGGGCTAGCCGGGGACAGAAGAGGCACGTCTGCTAGTAAACCAGGAGCTTCACCGGGGCCAGAACGTTGGGAGCCAACTGTTTCAGCTATTAACTCGCGAAGCTGGCTAAGTTGGTCTAGCGAGAATTGAGAGCCCGAAGTTGAGTAAGGTTGTTGGCGACCAGTAGAACGAGAAGGGCGCTCAAGATCCTCGGAAGCGCCAGGATTTTCGGTTAAGGCTGGCAAATGAGGAGCGTTGGCCTGAGGTGCGTGATTGTTCGCATGTTCGTGTTCAAAGATGCGTTGGGCCAAGCGAGACCTCGTACCCGTGGTCACGAGATTTCGTGCCGAAGCTAAAAGAATCAACGAATTCCTTGGCAGAGCGTTGAGTTGGGCTAGCGTGAGTGATTTCGGATCCATAGTGACGGCTCGATTGCGGCGATTCGCTGGACGAGGAGGCATAATCGAGGAGAAAAATAAGAAACTAGTGCGTAGTAAACTACTATTGGAAAATACAACGCGTGCACGCAAAGTGAACAAAACAAAGGAGCACTCAGCTAGCATTGATGGATATAAGCATAAGATAGTATTGATTACAGCTACTAACAATGAAAACTTGTTATCACAAAAGTTTGTAGAAACAACTGAAGTCAGTTATTGATGTAATCTAAGATAAACGAGGAGCTCTTGAACGACCCTTTGAACCAGAGCTGAGTCTCGCAATGTTCTTTAATGTGCGATAGCAACATATTTGCCACCCAGGGCAAAGTAAATCATAATGAAAAACAATGGCTGAAGTACGCTCTAATTAGTTAACTCTATTTTACGAGTAAAATGTCCATTTACTCAATCCCTCAGTAGTTGTTTTATGACTACAGTAGAACCCCGATAACTCGAAGTCGGATAGCTTGAATTCCCCGCTAACTGGAACTAAAATTCCTTACCCTTGATCAAAAAGTCACTGAAATTTACCCCGATAACTCGAATTCTAGTTCTTTGGCTCCTCACGGATACCATCCCATTAGCTCTTCTTGTTGTATAAGTGTAAAAACACTAAAATCACTGGTTAATATTAAAGGCAATTTGATTTTAATTGGTGAAACGAACAGATCACGTTTTATCACAAAAATGCCTAATCATGTTTCCGTTTCTGATGAAATAAGTAAATTTGCACTGCACCATACACTGAAGTGCTGAGAAATCAGTAATTATCAATTTTTAACGTGCCAAATTGAATTTTTTAATCGACCCCGATAACTAGGACACCCGCTAACTCGAACTGTTTTTCGTTTCCCTTTAGCGTTCGAGTTACCGGGGTTCTACTGTATTTATTGTTTATTTTGCCCTTCCACAGTTGACGTTGAAACCTCAAACAAACGGCATTTGCGTGGTTATGATATATCTTTATTTATTTCCTCTCGCTTCACCGCATATAACATTTTGAGACGATTTCAAACTATTTTAAACTTGAATCCGACTTATATTTTTACAGCTTAAGAAACGCAACTTATTTTAAAGTTAAAGCAGAATACTGAGTAACATAGCGCTGTTGGCGGACTCGTTTTCAAACGGAAAAGAAGTCTTCGTTATTCGCGTCTTGGATAGTGAGAGTTATTGAGATGCCGGGACCAATCTGTTGTCCATTCATGATCATATGCTTCGTATTTTAAATCCTTCATCAAATTTAATGACCGCTAACCTGTGATAACATAGTAAATGTAGTTACGTCAATAGGGAGTGCAGGTTAATTTATCAACGATGTGCTGTTTTGAATTGAGGGGAAAATTTTTTAATCACTTTTTGTAACATTCAATGATCCGGGGTAGCATTTTGGAGAGATGTTGGTTCATGACATGTTTTTCAGTGGCAACAATGTTTTGAAAAGAAATTGTCACAAAACGACATAAAGAGCCAAATAAAGCTTGCTAAATTTGCATCGATTAAGATGGTTGATTGTGATAACAGTCGTTTTCAGTCATAAGGTAACTCTCACGTCACAGGGACTGTACAGGGGCACATACCATCTAGAATTTTCTACAACTTGAGAAAGGCTAAAAAATTTTCCATAACTTTCCTATTCATCTCAGTTTTCATCTGACTTTTTTCTATTAACTTTCCCATGATTTTCTGGTGTTGGGTTTTTCACATTTCACTCCCCATATTTTTTTCGTTATTCGTTAAAAAAGGAACCGTAATTTGTGAGCCACTGAGCAGTCTTTTACGGATGTCGCTCCATAATTTAGTTGTAAAACGTTTTTTTAAGTCTTATGAACTTTAGAACAGAACCGGAAATGTTTGGTTTGGAGAAAAGAGTCTTATACACGACTGGCAAGAATATAACTGGATTACCTCATAAAATAGATGACATTTACACCTGGTTCACTGATTTTGACAACAGTTTATCGACCTTGGCCATATCAATATCAGCGTCTCTTTCTTGTCTCTTTTTCTCACTTGTCTCCTTCTCTGACGTGCTGGCCGCCTCTCGCTTATCTGCTTTACTGCTTTCGGAGGCGCTTCGTCCGCCACGAGGTCCTGTTTTCTCAGTGCTGCCACTTTTAAGATTCCTTCCTCCACGAAGTCCGTCACTGGTCGCCGCACTGTGCGTCCCCATAGCACTTTCAGATAAAATGGAACGTCCGCCACGAGGACCTGCTTCAGTTATTGTGCTCCTACCTCCTCGAGGTCCACTTTCTACTTCACGCCCACCACGAGGTCCATTGCTACTGTCAGTGTTGGTAGTACTGCGTCCCCCACGAGGTCCATAGATGTCCCTTCCACCACGTGGCCCACTGAAAAGGTCCCTCCCTCCCCTTGGCCCATATTCCACCTCTCTTCCTCCACGGGGCCCTGCTTCATAGTAAATAGCTCTCCCTCCCCGAGGACCGTAATAATAATATTCCTCTCCTTTATAGTCAAGGTCGCGACCTCCCCTTGGACCAAATTCTTCTTCCCCTAGTGCTCTTCCTCCTCTCGGACCATACACGTCTACATACGCTAGCCCTCTACCTCCACGGGGACCATATATGTAATCAATATCTCTCCCCCCACGGGGACCGTTATACATGCCATATTCCACTGCTCTACCCCCGCGTGGGCCGTTTCTGTCCAGCGACCTGCCTCCTCTTGGACCATTAAAAGTATCAACCAAAACTGAGCGACCACCCTTTGGGCCCTCTGATAGGGACCTTCCACCACGCGGACCAAAATCGATATCTCGGCCATATTCAGTAGATCTACCTCCCATGGGACCGTATTCTACAGCTCTACCTCCCCGAGGACCGTACACTATAGCTCTTCCACCACGAGGACCATATTCTTCCATAGACCTACCTCCTCGGGGTCCATATTCAAGTGATCTACCTCCTCTTGGGCCATAATATATTGTTCTACCACCCCGAGGACCGTACTCTATAGCTCTTCCACCACGAGGACCGTATATTTCCATAGACCTACCACCTCGGGGCCCATATTCTAGCGATCTACCACCCCTGGGGCCATAATCTACTGTTCTACCACCCCGTGGACCGTACTCTATAGCTCTTCCGCCTCGTGGACCGTAATAAATTTCCCTACCACCGCGTGGGCCAAAAAATAGCGATCGACCGCCTCTTGGACCATATTCTATAGCCCGTCCACCCCTGGGACCAAATGCAATAGCCCTACCCCCCCTGGGACCATAATTTATTGCTCGACCACCCCTCGGACCAGGCGCTACAGACCTACCACCCCTGGGGCCTTTACTTAAGGAATCTGAAACTGACCTGACCCTCTCCTCCCTGGGACCTTTCTCGTCCACATTTCTACCTCCTCGTGGGCCAGTATCAGACTGGACAGCTCGGCCTCCACGGGGTCCGCTACCAGCATTGGTTTTCTTCGCGTCGGCAACTGCTCGGCCTCCCCTCGGGCCTGCGTCGGCTTTAACGTCTCTTCCTCCTCGAGGGCCACTCTCCGTCCCTGACGCGGCGTCGGATGTTTTCCCTGTTGTTGTCGATCTCTTTTCTTGGGATTCCTCCGCTGCTCGACCTCCTCTTGGTCCGTCACTTTCCACAGCCCTCCCTCCACGTGGTCCAGAGTTTGAATTCTTAGTTGTAGACGCATCGTGTACAGACCTTCCTCCACGTGGTCCATTAGCGCTTTCCACGGATCTCCCACCTCTCGGCCCCATTGCACTAGATTCATCATTGAGAGTATCTATAGACCTCCCTCCTCTGGGACCATTGGCATTCTCCAGAGATCTCCCTCCTCGAGGGCCATAATACACACTTCTACCGCCACGGGGACCGTAGCGGTAAAGTGAACGTTTATAATAGCCTTCGTTTCCCTCAGGTGGGTAATATTCTCCTCTGTTTTCATAGTATTCCTCGGGAGGCTCAAAAGGTCCGTACCACTCTCCATAAGGGGGATATTCCGAGTAGTCCTGTTGATATTCCCGTCCACCAATTTCCCTAGGGTAAAATGGGCCATAGTATAACAATCTACTGTCTGTGTTTTCCGCTTGGTTTCCTTGAGCTTCTTGCTTGTCTGTTGACCTCGAGCTTCTGTCCTGATCAGCGATGCTGTAGGAATTTTTCACCGATCCTACATTGTTGTAAAAAACTTCATCTCTCTTTGCCACAGTCTTTTTCACTTCCTCGGTTTGGGAAGACTTTTCCTCAGCAATGACCTCGTTCAGAATTAAAACGAGAATTACGACTCTCCACATTTCTACACTTTCAAATAAACGGAGATTTGATTTACCTTAGGGTAAAAGAAATCATTTGTTGTCAAAAATTTAAGTTCTCAGCACCTATTTTTGATTGAAAGACGCCAGAACGTTAAGAAAAGAAAATTTCTAGCTTTCTTTATATCTTCTTTTTTATTTCTTCAATTATTGATGATTTCTTTAAGCAATTTCATCATTTCACGCAATATGACATGTGCGTAACAGTCCAGTTTACGCGCTCATTAAAACCGCAAAGAAAGGCCTTTGTGTGATAAGGCTGTCTTTTTATAACCAAAAAACGAAACTTAAGTTTACTTAACCCACAAAAAGAAAGTTCGGGCCGTTCTTGCTAATAATTCTTTAAAAATTCAAAAACATTCCTATAAGGAATGACTCTGTATTCATACAAAATAGATGTGATTGTTATAGTAGAAGACAATTTCAGAAAAAGCGAGGCAGATGTACGAAGGTCTCTGGTGGTTAAGGGCCAATTGTCCGCTGGAAGAGGCTATCGCCATTGATAAGGAAAACCTTTTTCTTTTTTGATTCCAAAATGACGAATAAATTCTGTTCTTGTAGTAACCATTTAGCTGAAATCGCTTAGGGAAAGAGGGATCAGAGAAATTTTTAAAATTATTCCTTCTTTACCGAATATTGCAAATTTTATATTTTAAAAATTTACAGTGAGTCAAGTTGATGCTTTTAATTTAATTGAAAAAAATTTTATCCGTGGCATTGGGGGCCGAAATTCCAAGCTGTCATACTTAACACTCCTAGTTAACTCATATTCATAAGACGTAGAAAAATATTTACATTTCTTATCTTTTTTATGTTAGCTGCAGACATTCAATTGATGTTAAAGGAACCCTTGGTTAATTCTGTTGAAATAAAATTTAACGACAGCAATATATATCTTTAGATTGCGGAAGAAAATACTTCAAAAACCTTGATGCGAAACTTTTATATTCAGTTTCGTCTGCCAGTAACTTTACATTTCAGTGGACAGCTTTGTTTACCCTTATCTTTAAAAGAATAGTTGCTTGATTCTATATCCACAACTGACTGAATAAAATGGACTTTTATTTCCTTTCAGAATAGATTGCTTAGACTTCTCAACGCCTCAACTCAACTGTCCGAGATCAGATTTTATTTCCAAAACCTCAATTACGAGCAAAACTTTTTTGTCTTTTTGAATTTTTTTTATTCAAGTTACCTTTGTTTTGTCGCAGCGTATTATGTTCTATACTTGTGTAGTGAAATCTTTTTTATGTTCTTGTAAAATGTCTTAAAATGTATCACAGTGTAGCATCCCCACACTGCCTTCCTCGAATAGCTTTTGATAAATGTAGCTAGTGGGCATATATTATGTATTTCATTGCTGTTCATAAAGTTGTTGGAATCAGTACATGATTATTTCTTTTTCAAATTATTGCGGTTGCCGTAGCGTTCACTGATGTAGTTCTAATAAACCTATGCGCATCTGATACGACACGGGAGCAAATCAAGAAATTGTTGTTTGCCTTTTCTATCTGAGAGAAATGCCATTGTTTTGACACCATGAAACCACCTCGAATAAATTACGTTAACATTAAACAAAACGCGCTTATTTTGTGCACATTTGCCCATTGTGGTTTAGCTACATCTGTCCCAAGAAAAACAAAACAGTTGAATTTCACAACCGCAAAACGTAGGAGAGGATTTTCCCATATCATTTGCGCACATGCTAAACTTAGAAATCCCGGGTCTGTTATCGGCAAAATCAAAGAAAACTTTTACGTCTAGCAAGCGCACATACAGGCAGAAATACCCAAATTAAGGCTATTTTTGTATATATATCGCGGTTACCAGTTTTTTACGTCGTTGATTTTATCCTTTGCACATTTAAGCGCAAAGCACGTATCTCAGCCCCCCAAAATTCCTCTCAGTGGGTTCTCGCTCGGATTGACACGTTTCCTACATGTATATGTTCCTTAGATTTCTTCCTCTGTTTTTACTTTCAGGGTGCTCACAAAACGGCAAAGGAAAATGAATTTTTTTAAAACTATTTAATCACGTCGAAAAGTCATACATGAGCAAAAAACCTGTGTTGAAGTCGGGCGACAAGCTTGATGTTCGCCACAACGAAAAAGAATAAAGCGTCAATTACTATGCTATTGCAAACCACTAAGCACTCGGAATACAGAGTTCGTATGTGCGCTGTATGTCTTTGTCATTTTGCGCGATTCTCGCGTTGAGCTCTTTGTAAGTGTTTTGATATTTTTGCTTTTTCACTGGGACATCAATGAAATGCAGGATCCTACTTAGCTCTTTTTAAACTGAAGGGCAGTGAAAGCTGAAAGGGAAGTTCGCGGAACGAGTAGCGACTACATAGAGCTCAGTTTGAGTTTCTCATTAATAGTTCGATGTAGTGGTTACGAACTAAAGTAAAATATAACTTTAAGCAGGCAAAGTGAACCTAAAGTTTAATAAACCCAAATAAAGTTTTTAATAGTTTTTTTCACTTAGAAATCAAACTAACATGAGTGGTAGCTCTGCTTTAATAGTTTTAAATCCAACCAACAAACAAATCCTAGTTTATTTTTAATTTTGTTTTTCTATTCATTGTGAATTTAAGAAGAGAAAGAAACAACTTAAAAAAAGTTTTTAAAAAATTGAGAAACTGACGATCCAGAAAGAACAAACCTTTCGTTTCACAAGCTCCGCATGATTTGACCTACGAAAAGTAAACAACCATCTGAGAGCCTTGATTACTGCCCAGTCAAAACTGGAATTGGTTCTAACTAGTAGACTGCCCGACTGGTATATCGTACCCCTTACTAGATAAGTTGCCTTCGCCTTTGATTGTTCTTGATTAAGTGTTTGTCACTATTCGGGAAAACTAAGCATGGCAAGACATGATTCTCCTTTCTCTCAAAGTATGTGAGAAAATGTCATCACTTTAATACTTGGAAACTGTCCTGATTTAAGGGGCTCTTTCCAGCGGTATAGATGGATTTTTACCATTTTGTTATTAAATCACTTGCTCTTCTTTGCAAGTGAGAAACCAGAACATCAAAACTTGCTAAGGGCAGAAAACAGCAAGAAAACATCACAAAACCATCTCTTATACTTTAATGGCTGTTTATGTGCATCGAACTCACGATAAATTCCCATACAAACGTTATGAGACTTGTAATGTGATGTCGAGCCCTAGCACTGCGTGCGCCTTTGCGCGTGCACGTGCATGAAGGTACGCGGTATTCAAAACCGAGGGATGGTGCGTTTTGTAAGCCAAAACAGCGTGTACCATCGTCATGTAAGTCCTCACAAGGAGTTACATAATATCTGCTCTTCTTGTTACTTCCAAAATGTCTACTATAACCAGAACTTTGAGAGCTTACAGGCTCATCCATCTCCGTCATATTCCACGTACATATTTACCTTTAAGCTTTGTGCTGGTCCCCCGTAAAATGAGCGTATATCCAAGTAATAATATTTCGTTGTGTTCACGCATTTCAAGATGGCCGCTTCAAGTTCTTCCTTCTTTTCAAATAATTCGCTTGTTCGCCACAGGGACAAACAACGTCCCAGAGCCCGACGATATAGACATAGTTTGTAGGTCAGCCTTTTTTGGATGTGTTAGTCAAAAAATGCGTGAAGACGTTCTTGAAGAATATTTTTCTTCGTATGGCGCTGTTGACAATCTGTACCTCATAAGAAATTTCCGTGGACAGTCGAAAGGATATGGTGTGGTCGTCTTTCGTAACGCCGAAACTGTGGATGCCGTCTTGGATGGGACTCACAAGCTAGATGAATCTTTATTTAAGATGGAAAGATCGCGAAAATACCGGGTAGTCATGGTCGAAGGTCTACCTCAAAGTTATTCTGAAGAAGAAGTTCGACAGTTATTTTCCCAGTTTGGAGAAGTTGGTAAAATTGAACTACATAAAGCACTTGACCGTACAAGAAGTTTTTCTCTTGTGTCATTTGCAAAGCAAACAGAGGCTCTGGAAGCGGTACGAAATGCTACTAATTTAGGTGGCCAGACCTTCACCGTCAGATTAACATTATTGAACTCTATGAAGGATTATACAAAGCTACCTTCAAAAAGGGTTATTGTATATAATCTGCCATATACAACCACAGTAGATGAACTTTACAAACACTTCAAATTTCCATGTCCAACTCTGAGAGAGATTCACCTCAGGCTCGATTATGAGAACAAAACATGTCTTGCATTTCTGCAATTTGATGATGCAGAAGAGTCAGAAAAACTCATCAAAGAAGGAACTACACCATTCGGGGGCCAACGGATCTCCTTCAAAAAGATTGATGACTCACAGCGTCTTAATTCGACTGATTCTGCTCTATTCTTAGAAAATATCCCACTTGAATTATCTCGTGATCAAGTGTATCACCACTTCAAAAATTTTGGACGAATGGAAAAGTGTCACATTAAACAAAACAAAGGATTTGGTTGGGTGAGATATTTCATTGGTCCTGATGCCATGGCAGCAAGCCAGGAAAGGGGACATACTATCAATGGTCATACCATTTATGCTCGCCGAGTGGCTTTGAAAGTTCCAGAAAAGGGACTGTAAACTTTTCTTAGACATAATTATCAAAATTTTTGCACTCCAGTATTTAAAACCGATATAACTGTATTTACTGGGATGATTAGCACTTGTGTGCACATTCAACTTTTTTACTTTTTGGCCTGTCAAACACTGTAAGTAGTGCTTTTAAACTTGATAGTTAACATTTCAATTTCAAAGAGATCTTGGCTTGAAGTCAAACCAACCTTTATGTTGACATTTCTGCTCTAAATACTCTGGCATTTAAGGACAAATCTACTTTATGGGAACTCCTTTTTTATATTGAAAAGGTCATTAAAACCTTTTATGCAAACAAACTCCTGGGAATAAGTTCCCCCTTTAACCCTTGCACTCCCACAAATTTGGACACAAAAGGCCCCTTAAAGTTCTCCTATAACTATCTGGCCTGTTTATATGCCAAGCACTTCATGGCCTTCTGTTCCTGATGCTTCCAAACTTCAGGCATGTCTAGAAAGCAAAAATAAGAGATAGCTTTTGGGTTCAAAAAGTTACAGTGCCCCCTTGACTGTTACTTTTCACATTTTCACTTCCGCTCTTTTTCTCTTTTCTTGCCCTGCATATGTTGGTTTTTTTCCTATTTTCTTTAGCAGGGCATTTACTAAGGTTCAATTCGGTGAGAAAAGTTTCGGGCGTAAAACTTTTAGGATCATAAGATTAGATGAATGTTGAAGGGTGGGGGTAGTGGAATAAAATTTTCATTGCAATTTTTGGGTCAAATGTCACTTTTTTTTGCATTTTCTCCAGCCTGATTGACTGGATCATGCTCACTCAAGTATGGTTTGAAAAAAAGAAAAGGGTAAAGTGGCTAGTGGGTCAAAGAATAATAAAACTGAATGTTTGTGGATATTACCAAGATAATTTTGAAAATATGAATTGTCTGCATTCTTTTTATGGTGAAACAAGAACACAAGTGGTATAAGAACAAGAACACATGTGCTTTGCCCACATCAGATCCACCCACTTAGAAGTTGATTCACCTTCATCCTGATAAATGATTTGCCTACATTCTAGTGGTTAACTTGCATTTACAGCTAATCCCCTCATTACTCTCTAGTATGATGTCTTATGCACAGGAAAAAATAACAGATTCCCATTTTTGGATATTTTAAGGTATTTAAAGAATACCCACAAAAATCCCAAATTTGGAAGAGTGAGACAAGTCGCAACCAGGGAACTTGGTTGGGAATTCTCTGGCTGGGACTTGTCTCACTGTGTCACATTTGGGATTTTTATGGGTATTCTTTAAATACCCTAAAATATCCAAAAATGGGAATCTGTTATTTTTTCCTGTGATGGAAGTAAAGATGTTGACCAGTCACGGGGACATCAATGAACTACCCACATATCCTTTAAATAATTTAGTAAATACAACCACTTAGTCAACTGTTGACTTTATTACATTAAGAACTTTTTTGTCCTTTGCTTACATAATAATAAATAATAAAATAATTATGACAATCTCTTTAGAACCTTTTACAGCCTGTCTATGAAGAGTGTATGATCAGATGACTGAATAAAATAAATTCATTTCTCTTTTTGTCACTGACAGTATGAATATTTACAAACTGAACTCTTAACGGGATTAGTTTCATGTACATTTGGTGAAAATTAAGATTCCATACGATGATTGCCATGATGGCAAAACTAGAAATTCAAATATTTTTCATAAGAACAGAAAATTTAGCAGTGAGTTCATGTGTTTCAAATGTAAATACCATGTAAAGAGGTACTGTTTACAGATCAAAGCCTGCATAGGCTAGGGCCATGATTGTCAAATATAACAAGACTAAAAATCCTACAAGAATCCACCATATACTGTATTCACCTGAAAAACAATAAGTTATTACAATAAGATGCAATGAACAATGCGATAATAATCAAGCAGCTCACGCACAAATGTCTGAACTTAGAGCTTGTGACAAAGACTACCAGCCACAATAAACTATCTTTAGTTAATAACTTTTTTTGACACTATTCTCAGTTCTGTTCAAATTAATGATACACATGTATGACCTTGAATATGAAGTTCAAATTAATTTTCCCCCATGAATAAGTCATTTAAATGATTAAAGTTTAGTTGCTTTAAGTTACATGTAGGTTGATTAAACAATGTGTTTTTTTTTCTAGTCAAGAAGTTGATGTATCATCAGCTGAATGAATACCCTGATGAGCAACATGGGCCAATCATAACCAATTATTAGTTGAATGACATACAATATCAAAGGAGGACAAATGGGTTTGCAGTGATGCCTTTTTGTGAAAATTCTAATATTTTAACGGTGGGTTTTAGAGGTTTTGACAAGACCATGCAATTTTCCATTTTAAAGAAATTTTATTAACTTTTAATGAGGAAATGCAGGGTTTTTTTATCTTTTCTGTGCAATATTGTCACATTTGTTTCTGTGGGTTTTGAAGCCCACCCTCCCCCATTAGCCTTACATTCCCTCCATATGTATCACAGTACCATTAGATTATACATACTTCTTTTCTTGAGTGTAGTAACTTTACAAGTGTTGTCAGCAGAGATACTGAGAAGAGCAAACTCGTTGCGCAGTTTGTTAGCCACTAGCGGGGAGTCTGGTAAAAATGATAATCCAGTGACAAAGATGTTGTGTACACCCTTCAGAGTGACAAGGGGCTGAAAAGAAATTAAACAAAAGATTCAGTTTGAGTATGGTGTATTTTCTAGTCAATAACACAGGAAACTCAAAGAGAAACTAAAAAGAAAGTATGATACTAGGTAAATTTGAAGTAAAGTACAAAAGCCACTTACAACAAGGTTCCAAGAAATATACACTGAAATGTCTCCTTCAGCTGTCCCAACGCCAACATAAATCCCATTGCCACTGTAAAAATACAGTCAGTAAAAGGGATTATTACAATTAAAGTGTAAAAAAAGTGCATGCCTTAAATGAAAGGAGATGAGACAAGTCAGCTAAAAAAGGTTTTGAAAAAGAAGTCATCTCTTCTCCTCAAATCTGGGGGCAAAAGAGATGCACACTGCCCTGATTTTTTAAGCCATTATTTGCACTTTTGGTGAAATCTAAAGGTTTGTAAGTGATTTCTCCAACAGTGCCTCTAAATTCATAGGGCATTGTTTGTCAAAATGACAATGATAAATAACAATAATCATCATTATACCTACATAAAATCATAGGCATTTTTTACAAAGCATTCTTAGTAATGGAAGATAATACAAACCTAACAGCCATTTGTGTCAGAGGTTCAAATCCAGCAGACTGACTCATCTGTGGTAACCATTTTGAACAGTCCCACTTAACCAGATATGAGGGTGTTGGTGTCTTCCTATTGAACTTTGCAGGCACATTAATTGTAAAAAGACTGACATTTTTCCTCTCATCACAACCAAACCTAAAAGAATCAGGGACAATTGCCTTACTAATATACAATTTTTACCAAGGCAGCTGGTATTTAATATTTGTAATTTAAAGATTATTTTGTCAACAACTGACACAACTGAATACACTGCCACGCCCAAACAATACATAGACTGCGAGCAGTCCCTCAGGATGGTCACGCGAGCAAGGAAATTGCGTGAAGCAAGCGAAAGCCGAGGGTAAGCTGGGGAGGAGGCGGGAAAGGCTCTCTCCAGTTTCCCTCTTGGCCAATTCGCTCTCTCCAGTCTTGCTGAGCTTAGACTCGACTGACTGAAGAGGGACTGCTTGCAGTCTAAACAATACATCAAGTAGTGATTCATAGTACAGATTTATCCAGTGGACAATGGTATCCAGGAGCTTTTCAAAGTCTTAGACCTACCTACAAGCTCTTATCCTGAAAAAGTTCTCTGGCTCATTATTAGCAGAGAAATAAAGTTGAAACTGCTTCCTTCCTTCCTCTAATCTCCACACATAGGCTGTTGTATCTCTGGAGCATGTAACAAACTGAAACCAAAAAGGACACTCAACAGAAAATAAATAAACCTAAAGCTGGTAATAATAATGAAAGTAATATTGAAAATAAATAGAACACAACTTACCCAGTTGGAGTTGGGATGGACATCAAGGTCATCAACATCAGTAGAATGAGCCTTTATATCGTGTACAGATTCTAGAGAGGGATACTGAAACAAAATATTTTCTGAAATCAAGTTATAAATAAAAAGTCAAAGTGTTTAATGTGCAGAGTCAGTCAATAATATATATTGTTTCCCCAGTCTACCACGACTGAAGGAATCCAGGGCAACTAACATCATTCAATTTATTCAGTCTTTCTTAACTAATTAGAGTTTGCACATCTCGTCTTGTTCAATGTCAAGATCAAAGTAAGGATTCTGATGTCAAAGTTGACCTTTAAAGAAACTATATGGATCTCTAAACGTATCAATGGGTGGACTGGATACTCTGCTATTTGATAACTGTGGTGATATATTTGCTGTAAGTATATTAGTTTTGTAACATTTGCAGCAGTTATGAGGGTAAATGCCTCTATCCTTAAAATGCTTTTTATTTATTAAATGCTTCAAGCTGAGTTTCTATTAGATCATTTTCTGTACTTGCACAATAATCAAACCCCACACCCCAATTTCACAAAATAAACCAGATGCACACAACTGCCTTGGGCAAGCAAAACTTGATAGCTGCTTGCTCAATTCAAGTTTGCTTCAGTGCTGAGACAACTGGGAATTAACAGCAAATTACCTTGAGGACTCTAACATGACCATCTGAGCCACCTGTTACAACATGCTTTCCATCCGCTGTAAAACGCACAACTTTTTGAAATCCTAAGTCCTCATCTTTCTCATCACCATCATCTGCTGATACAGTCACCTTAGATTGTAGTTCATTTACTTTAAATTTCTTTATCTTCTTTTTTGTCATAACTTTGGCCTTCCTGCCTTCTAATTTTTCAATCTGGACTTCTTCCTCTTTTACATCCACTTCCAATAACTGACATTTATTGTCCATTCCAGCTGCTAATACATTTGCAGTGGGGTGAATTGCACAGTTCATTATTGCCCTTCGACCCGCCTCAAAGTTATGAACCAAGCTTGCTTTGAGTTCTTTACCATCTGTACCAAGCTTGTAAATATTCTGACATGATATGCAAAACAAAAATGTGTACAGAGGTAAACATTAGTGACCTTTGTGTGAGATAACAAAAGAAGAGATAAATACAACTTTTGGTCCAATGGCTTGCGATAATCAGCTGATGTCTCTGATGGACAGCAGGGAAGGGTCAGTGAAAACTCTGCATGTGGACATACAGTGTAAATGTACACTGTGGCTGGTTTGAAATATTTTATATACTCAAATATGGAAAACATTTTTTAAGGAGCTGTGGTCATCCAAGCCACACAATATATAGTTTTTAAATTTTATATGTAGGGGGTTAAAACTGCTTTGATTGGCTTGTCATTTTGCAGAGTACTCATTTACATTGATTAGGTAGCTTAGCTAGATAGAAGTACTGTCTTTCACAGAAAGTTGCAACCTCATTCCCAGGGTCCTGCTCTTCAATCTGACTGGAAAAATTCAACTAGGTAGCAGGCCCCAGTTGTTCAAAAGGTGGATAGTGCGATCAGGTGAATAGCACAATTGCTTTCCCTAATACTTATCCAGTGGATAGTGATTTATCCGATGGATAGCACTATCCAGCTTTTGAACAACTGAGGCCTAGTATACAGGACAATTAGCGAAGGCCCTAAAACACTTCCTTGTGGAACACTGGATGTCACGTGGCTAAGGCTAGCTCGCTGTCTATTGAGGACCGTATACTGTGATCTTGACGTGAGATATACCAACTACCAAATTTTTTATAAATCTTGGAAGATACAATTAAGTATTTTCAAGACGGAAGCAGGACTATCTCAGACGGTAGAGCGCTTATTTAAGCACGATATTAAGTTGTATAATTTCTGTTCTATTTATTAGTTACTATTATATATATTAAAAACTGCTGATTTGACATAAGCTTAAAATGACTTGGAAACAAAAATTGTCGCCAACGCAAGCAGTAGCCGCTTTTTCTCAAACAGTTACGGAGCCATGGAATTGTGACAAAGGAGCAGCTTAAATACAATCAAGAAAGCCGTGAAAACAAAATATTTTGACAAAATAACGAAAACAAACTATAGCCCATACCAAAGCGTTCGGAACACCGGTCTTCGCCGCACCACCGCCGCCGGCGATCAAAAAGTGCTCCCGATCCAGAACATTCACAGCGTAAAGAGGAAAGTTGGTTGTTTCTAAGGTTGTGAAAGGCATGGTCCTTGAAAAAATCTAGTGGTTGTAAGAGAAGAAAGTTTCCGTCATTACTATCGCAAAAAACTACTTAAAAGTCTACGTGGCTGGAAGCCTGGTTACGTAGCTATGGGCAATTCCGCTGGTCTGGTCTGTAGTGTGACCGCGTGATGCATTACTCACAAAGATGGCCACAAAATGTCATATTCCAACATACAGTTCTATTGTAACTGCAACGTCGCTAAAGAGTTGTTATTAAAAAAAAAGAAAAGAAAAAACTAGAGCAAGGAGCCCAAGGCGCCAAGTGGAGAGTTACGCAAAAAATGTCTAAGAGAGCCGCTAAAATATTGTTATTGTTGTTCCGTTCGGGGTATCCCGGCATCTGCCAAGTTTTCAGTTTACAACGAACCATCCCTTTTATACGTTAATTTTACCAAAGATAAGGCACAAACTAAAGGAAAATTAAAATTGTTTGTTTCAATACTTACGGTACACTTAACCAACATGTAAACGGTGATCAAAATCAAATTCACTACAAAAAGAACAACCACTGTATCCTTCGAGGGCTTCGAGGTAGCAGGACTCTATCTTAGGGCACGGATTATTGTTTGATATAGTGATTATCCACCCGGTGGATAACGTTACCCAACGTTTGAACAACCAGGTCCAGTATAAATGATATCATCATATCATTACTGCCAGCGGATTCTATATATACTCAACTAAAACAGGCATGACTGAAAACGTAAATCGAGGCAAGATCATGTTTCAGGGGCACCCAACGACAGTTTCCTCCTAAATGCCTTGAAAACACTTTTTAGGCTATCTAGACTACCTTCAGATCTCTAGAAATGTATTTTAAGGGGCACTAAAAAATTTATATCTGTTCGGTCATCCTAGGGTAACTTGAGTCTTTTCAAAATTACAAGGGCTTCAGTATTATTTTCCCGAAAATGTTAGCTGCAATTTAAAGTTTTACGAAAGTAATAGTTTTTTCTGATTCCTCTCTACATCGCATTTTCGATTCCGAAAATTTTAGGTTTCCTTTCTCTACGAAAAATGGGCTAACATGAGAACTGAAATTGGAAAAATTAAACTTCAGAAAATCGTATGGAATTTATTTATTATTAAAGCTTCGAAAATTGTACATGAATGGAACGGTCATCTAGAAATTTTTAGCTTTCCTCAAGCTATTGAAAATTTTAGGCAATTTTTGCTTCTCCGAGCAGATATTTAACAGAAAAAATTCGTTGGGTGCCCTGATGTTTTGTTGGAGTCATGCACATGATGTTATTTCACTCACATAAAAATTTACCCCTCCGTCTTCAACAGATAATTTGTGCAATATCAGGCAGAAACAGCTAAAAAAGGACCCACCCTTATTTCATCATGATCTTCTTACCCTTGACTCCAACGGGAAAATAACAGAAATGATACAGTGAAGGCCTCACAGCGGGATGATTGGAAGGAAAACACATCAAAACAGCGAACCAACAAAGTTTTTTTGTTATTATTATTCTATTTTATTTCGACGGACACACAAACAATTACAATACATTACATTTACAATTCATTACAATAAATTCTAATTATTGTTTACTAAATTTTACCTTACATTGAAACAGGTGACTGTTATCGTTTACAGAAGGGAAAAGAATGAAATAAAATGAAAAAGAAAGACAAAGTCTACAAAAATACTATAGTTTATATATTAACAGCTAAGAGAAGGCAGCTGCCTGCCTTATGGTTCTCCATCCCCCATCTGCCCGTTTGTCACTTGCACTTTAATTAACTGTATAGGTCAAATTATTTTCTGAGGGGCATGGTTTGAAAGTAGCCCATTTCTTCCTAAGGGAGGCTAAGTCATTTCGTAGTCTGCAACTATATATATAGGGCCTAGCAATAAGGAGGAAGTGGTGTAGGAGAAGATTGGATATCTAGTCAATTAAGCCGAGGCAAAGAGCTGGCGAAAAGGGGGTAATGTTCAAGTTGGTCAAATCAAGCTCTTCGGAGGTTCACTGCGAAACATTATTCCAAAAAGTCTAAGCTGATCTACAATGCCAAAAAAGATGCGTAAGTGTCTCTGGGGAACCAGCGCAAAAAGAACAGGAGTCTGTTTTCCGCTTAAGAACGAAGTCGGTTGTAGCTACTCTTCTATGCAGAAATTTAAATTGAAATACCCTTAACTTCGTTTCCGTAGTGCATAGAAAAGGTAGCTGATAGGTATTTTCCCAGTTCACTTGTACATTTGACAAGAGATCTTCAGCAAGCCACTTTCCCTGGCTTTTCATGCACTGGTGAGGAATTCTTTCTTTTGACCAAAATCTGATAATCTATTTGCAAACTTTCTCGGAAGAAAACAGGTTGTCGGCGGCTTTTTCGAAAGTAGTGAAGTTTTGATTGTTGGAACATTTTTTTCTGAAATGTTCAAGGGCAAACACTACTTTATACTACTCTAGATAGTTCGTCTTTATATTGTACTTGGTAATGAAAGCAGTGTACCTTAGGAAATTATAATCTGAATCGTCAAGCAAATCCTTAACTTCTTTCACTCCTGCTTGAAACCATGCAGTGACTTATAAAAGAAGTGCGTATTATCAATTCTCATAAGCGAATTTAACCAAATCTCGGAGAAGGGGAAATTTAAGTTGTCTTCACTATAATTTAAGGTACTCCAGTATCCTACAGTTTCAGATAAAAAAAGGGTCTGAAATATTGAGTAGAGAGGTATCTTGATGTTTTAAATTAGCTGGCTGCATAAAAAAGCAACTTACCACCGTGTTTCTCAAGGTAGTGATTAACAAAGGATTTCCACTTCCCTTTATTATTGCCAGTCATCCAGATAGCCTTTTATCCATTTATTTTTTAACGCGGATTCATTAAAGCTTTGAAGATCAATCATTTTTAGCCCTCCTTTGTTATATTCATTTATCATTTCTGTTCTTTTGATTTTATCACCCTTGCTGTCCCAGAGGAAATCGCATAAAAGACAATTAATCTCCTTGATAACACCTGGAGGTGATGGTAAAGATGATAGGAGCTAAACAATTTGAGATACTACAAGAGATTTCAGTATTGCAATTTTTCCAAGGAGAGTTAGATTTCTAGCTGACCAACTGCTCATCATTTTTTTCACTTTTTCAATTTTCTCACGAAAATTAATGTTGCTTTCGTTTATTTCAGAAGTCGAAAAAAGAACGCCGCGAGCGTAGACTTTGAAACTCGCCCAGATGATCGGTTTTAATATTCGACGGAATGGAAAAATCTCTATCTTTGCAAGAACCTATCCAGAGCGCTTCGGTTTTTTCATGGTTGATTTTCAATCTAGATGAGATTGCGAAATTATCGAGTAAAAGAAGGGTTCTTGAAAGGAGAGCTCAGAGCCGTCTAGAATCATTGTAGTATCATCAGGGTATTGTGAAAATTTGCACACAACGTTCGCTATATTAATGCCGCGAATATTTTCATCCTTCCGAACGAACAAAGTTTACAATGGAACCTAGCCCTAAAGAAAAAGCCAGTAGCGACATGTAGGGGTGCAATGAAATTAGTGGATTTCAAGAGGTGCGAGGCTTCTGAAAACTTTGCCAAGATTGACACAAGTGTTTTTACTACATTTCATTTTTCCATTCCCCGTGATCGTTACACGTTTTAACAACATCCTTCCCTGGTAATTAAAAAATACCTTCTCTGATCTAACGGCTTTCCGCCGGTATTCCTGTGAAGTAAGTTTACGGAAATTAAAACAAAGACGTTCTCCTGAGGCGGCTCGGGAGTGGCATAGCACATAGATCTTGTATGGCCAATGGAGAAAGTAGAGAGAACAAAAGATTCTGGCGTTGTCGGAGTTCAAATTTCCTAATTGAAGAAATGCATTATAGTTCTGTTTACGGTGGTACTATGTTCTATTAGTCAATTTTAAACCTTACTCACACACCATAGTCTTGTGAGGGCTTCAGAAGAGTTAGGGTTACCAACAAACAATATTTCGCTGAGACTGAGTATCATAATTGAAGTGAATTATGCATGTCAACCTTAGACATTATCTGTTTCTTCATCACACTTAAGACGATGCTTTTCTTTCAATAATTAAAATTATTGAACTAACGAACATTTCAAATTTGGCCAGCTCATTATCAGAGGGGGCCCATTTGGAAATATTTCCCGGGGAATATAAGCCAAACAAAAACAGGGATTTCTTTTAAAAAATAAAAGTATATATAGACTAGATATTCCAAGCTAAAAGTAACTTGCATAACAACGTTTCATTTATATTTCGCTCTCGCTACACGCAATGCTTAGTCTGAGAGCCGAAACAATATGGTTCAGTTTATGCGGTCGGTTTTCACGGCTCTGCAACATAGCAAACCTTTCGTTTCTCTTTTTATGTCTTGCTTAAGAACAGCGTAAACCAGAGGATTTAGGGCAGAATTCGCTAGAAGGAGCACTGAAAAAGCTGATCGTGTATCCACAGTCACTTCACAAAGTTGAAACGTATCACAGATTGTAATATAGATTTCAGTTCCATAACAAGTCACGAAAACAGCCACAACCACTACCACAAGCCATACTATTGACTTTTTCACACCTACTTTAGGAGCCCTCACTCCTACTGAACTTGAAGCTTGATTGAAGCGAACCTGTTTTAATAGCTTTGACATTTCAACAGATATCTTTCGTGAAATTAAAAGGATATGTAAAGTAGCGGTCACCAGAATTATTGTTGGTGTAACTTCAAATAACATTGTATAACAGATTGTGAGTATGAGTTCTCCTCTGACAGACAGCCTGTGGTAGTACTTGCTCTGTACCCATCGACCAGCAAACAGAAAAGTTGGAATTCCCCACGAAGCTGCGACCATAGCGACGATATTCTTTTTAGTCATGACACGCACGTATTTTAAGCAATAGACGATGGCAATGTAACGTTCAGCAATCATCGCCATTAAAGCGAACATTGAAGGTTCAGTGAAAAAGGAGACAAAATTAAAGCGTATGACATCGTTACACGTAACGTTTACGTTGCAAACAAAGGAAGCTGGGAAGTATCCACTTGTTACGCTGAAATCAGCAACAGCAAGCGATAAAATAAACCAGTTGGCAGTTGTGTGTAATCGTTTTCGTCTAGCAATGATTAAAATAACCCAAGCATTTCCCATAAGGCCAAAAACAGTCACTAACCAGCCAACGATCCAAAACCAGTTTACTGACATCTTGAAATAAAAAATCGTCGCTGAAAATGGAAAAGGTACATAGACTTAAGGCGTTCGTTCTGGTCCTTGCGCAAGAATTAGGCAGGAAGCTTTACAAAACTTATAGAGGTGCATGTTGTGATCGCTTACATATCCAGCATCGGTCAGTAATTACTACTACAGTAATTCTTTTTTCTTAACATCCATGTTAACATATCACTGTGTAAATAAATAACAAAACTGTTAAATCAGGCGCGTTTTTAGTTTGCAAACTACCCTTGAATTCAGCCCAAAACCAGTTATCTAAATATCATCATTTCTTAGAGGAAGAATTAAAGTCTGTTGAATTTGATAACTCTTGCAGTGAAAAGCAAACCGTATTAGCATAACTAGGGCTCTGTTTGTTCATGGCATCCGGCATCTGTGCAAACACTATTGTCAAGGGTTTTGTAAGTCATATTAAACTGGAACATCAAATATAACTGCAACCTTGTACACGATTTATTCAGCGCCGTATTGCGATTTGGAATCAACTTGTGAAATATTTGCCATTTTCACCTCGCGTCTAGAGTTTTTCCGGTCTAAAGCAAAACCTGACCCGATCCCAAACTTAACAATGAGGGGACAGCACTAACAGGGGCTCGTGCTTTGGTTCAGTTTTACGTAACCTAGTCTTGAAATTACGAATATACAGTCAAACCCCGTTAATACAGACACTGAGGGGGACATAGAAAGTGTCCGTTTTGACGGGGTGAATTTAGAGAAAATGTAAGAGATTTCTTTCCCCGGGGAACAAGAAAACTGTCCGTTATAACGGAGTGTCCGTAAAGCGGGGTTTGACTTAGACTGTTCACAGTCCCCTATTTCTTCGTGAGATCGTTTGGATATACCGCGTCTTCCCGTCACGGCTATCTTGGTTTTCAAATGTACCGAGGGGGCGGGCGTCGGGGATTATAGCTCCTCCTCCCAAACCGCCCCCGCCCCCTAAGTAGTTTTGACACTCATCCAAGACGGAAAAATAGAGGACTGTGAACAGTCTAGGTTTGACTGTACATGAATTTCATATCTTTGAACTTAGCGACAAAGTACGCAACTTATGCAGATGTGAAAAGAAAGCCTAAAGATACAGTAAAATTCCGAAAATAAGCCCCCCGGGGGCTTGTACTTGGAAATTGCCGCCCTCAAACACAAAGTAAAACAAAGCAAAGACGGTTAATTTCCTTCCAACTATAAGGCTAGTCCAATCGATTTTGAAACGCAAATTTCCCCCCGTGGATAAACCCCTCCCAATAAAAGCCCCTTCAGAAATAAGCCCCTCAAAAAGGGCGTTTGAAAAGTATAAGCCACGCGGTCAGGGTTCGAATCCCGGCAAACCTGACTTTTTTCAGGCTTTCTCTACACATCTGCATAAGTTGCGTATTTAACTTTGATGATCTTCTCTGCATTTATAAGATTGTCTTGCGCACATAATGAAAATCAGCTTAGAAATGCTTTTTGGTGAAGGTATCTTGATGCCATTCTAGGGAGGGCGTCAGGCTTGCCTTTTTCGCTTACTTTATAATCTTGAGATGAAAAAGAAGAAATGCTGATAAACGGCGAGGAACTGTAAATTGACTAGACAAAAAAATCAACGTTTCACTAGAATCACTGTTAATATTATATATTATATTTCTGTACCAACCATAATGCAGTGAATTGATGACTTACTTAAATTTTGTCTGGCCATAATTAGGGCATTCATGCACTTTAAATAGGTCTATTTGCAGCCTTATGGGTTGAACATAAGCGACCACTCAGTGGGCAGCTTGTGATTCATATTGACCGCGTTGTTTCACATTGCAGATACACATCACAATCGTGGTGTTGATTCATGGAGCTTTAAGGCTCTTTTTTAATGACATGTCCTTAAAAAAAAGAATAAGTTTTAGATGAAGGAATGAAGTACTCTTAAAGGTCACTGAATAAAGAACTTAATGAGAGGAATAGGTTAGTGTATACAACAAATAATCAGGCACATTAGGTGGCCAAAATGTTTCTATACAGAAGGTATAAATGTTTTGTTAAGGCACTGAATGGAAGGGAAAACGGAAAAGTCGTCGTATAAAGACTATTTTCTATCCAGTTACAAGTGACTCCAGATGCATTAACATATACATCCATACAACTTTGGGGTTGACCTCCTGTAGTCTGACAAAATAAAGCGTCCTTACGTCTACATATAAATCTCTGCTGACATCTGTTTAAACCATGCGTGAACTCAATTGGTAGGAACAGCTGTAGGAATCGCTGTTAACTTTTTAACCACTGATGATGCTGAATTACGTCTTTGCTTCTCTCTCCATAGTCATATAAAAGTTCCTCTCCTTCCGACACATCTTGGATTGTTTCCAGTATTAAATGGGGCGTGTCCTGTACACACACCAGTTTTGTGGCACAGTTCGCTTCAGTTTTGCTGTGATTTAACAGTCTTCCGAGCCTTCCACTCTCTTTTGTAGCATCAACACTGTTTAGATTGAGGACAAAAACAAGTTAGTATTTTAAACAGAGCGCATGTCACAGATGGCATTTTTTAAATAAATATTCTTTCAGAGAGGCAAGGTTCGATTGTTTTAAGGGTTTTTAGGGAGCATGTGCAAAACAAAGAGAGACAACTCCCAACAATATCGGGACTTGCAGTGTATTATGGGAAGGATGCGACCTATAAGATTTAGTAATACTGTAACACACGTGAATGATGTTCGAGGAGACCATGTGTAAACTGAAAGAGCTGAAGCGCTGTGCAAACGGATCCAACATTGTTGCACTACGCTTCAGTGATGACAATACAAAAAAAGTGCTGGGAGTCATTGACTCAAAAGTCTGATTGGATTAAAACTTTGCACAACAACTCCCAACAACATGGAACAGGGTATGCAAACAGATGCAACACATAGCACCCTGCAACTTTGGGATTTGTTTGCCAACAATGTTGTGTCAGTTTTCACGGAACTTCAGAAGATAGAGAATGGATGAGAAGTAGCAGCGCTGCTTCTGTTCTGTTGCCATGAAAACTACGGACAACACTTTTAAGGCCTTTATATACAGCAGCTCCAGTAATGATTATATTTTTGAAATTTCCAAACCTACAGGCCTTGCACACTGGCAGCTTGCAATACAGTTTTGTTGTGCCATTGTGAGACATGTTGCACAAGCCTTTTAGGAATCCTCTGCAAATAGTACTATTAACTATGCTCTAGAGAAGTATAACTTTTCAATAATTCTTCTTTGTGCAAACGCTTGTTGTAACAATAACTTTGAGAGACAGAGGCTGAACTTGGACTAGACAATTTTCTCTACCTTGTATCGCAACAAATTGCAAGACAAGTTGCAAGAAGATAGGGTCATAATCTTGACAGTTTCTCATTGCAGAAATGAGGACAATTCAAAACATTATACTCACCACAACTTTTTGTTCTTGAAGTTGAAGTAATACATGTAGCACCCATATTCTGTTTTTCCTTCATAAAATTGTTCTCGTTCTTTAGCATTCTTATAGTCAATGAGTTCTCCAGCATATTCACAAACAAACTGCCCTTTTGAGAAAGCTTTTGTTGAAAATACACCTCTCCCTTTGCCTTCTACTTCTCGTACCTAAAGCAGGAAAACAAGAGAATGATTTTGTTGACAGAAGGAAGTGCAATATCCCTTGGTATTTCTTTGCGGTATATTACATATCCTGATGCAAGTGGTCACACTTAAGTTTGTTTCTGGCAGTTTTCACTGCATGTAGTGCATCTTTTAGACAGGAAATTTCATAGCACCTCTACTGATTGGTTGTTTTATCTTGTTATGCAGAAATCTCCAGCAAACATCTGGGTGGTTGTTAAGGTTGCTTTCTTTTGATGTTACCATAGTTATGCCCCATTNGAATGATTTTGTTGACAGAAGGAAGTGCAATATCCCTTGGTATTTCTTTGCGGTATATTACATATCCTGATGCAAGTGGTCACACTTAAGTTTGTTTCTGGCAGTTTTCACTGCCTGTAGCGCATCTTTTAGACAGGAAATTTCATAGCACCTCTACTGATTGGTTGTTTTATCTTGTTATGCAGAAATCTCCAGCAAACATCTGGGTGGTTGTTAAGGTTGCTTTCTTTTGATGTTACCATAGTTATGCCCCATTGAAAAAAATTTAACAGGTGTTAGAAGGAAAAGTCGCACACACATCATTATTATTATTATTATTATTATTTTCATTATTGTTATCATTATCATCATCATTCTTATATCTATTGTTCGGGGAACAATTAGTTTATTAAACTGCAATTGTTACAGAGTAAATATGCAAACCAAAATAAATTCAATTTGCATAAGAAATCTCACCTCAAGGCCATCTTCTCTGCCAGACAACAGTGCTTCTTCAAGAGCTTTTTGCTTTTCTTTCTGAAAACAAAATTATAATACAAAAGGTTATGAGAATTTAACCATAATGAAATTTATTTGATTTCAGATCTCTGAGACTAAAAGATAACTAAAAATTGCTCACAAGGTACATGTAATCTTCCTTGGTTAAAGCCAGGGACCTGTTTCTCGAAAGTCTGGGTAGTTGTTTGGGCCCAGAAAGCCATTTTGAGTTTCCTGTATTTACATTCAAGATCAAAAGTGTCTTTATTTGACAATGATACAATGAAACAATCAGTTAATGAAGCAAAACTGAGCTAGGAACTGTGCTACTATTCAACAAGTTTGGATTTTAAAATTTGCCTTCAGGCCTGAAAAGCTTGTGGGTCTTTCGAGAAGTAGGCCCCAGGGCTTAGAAAAAATTTGGGTTTATTGCTAGTCCTGTTCACTGGCCAAGAATATTTTGGTCACGTCTTTCTTCTCACCGGTCAAACTAACTTGAATATTTTAACATAACAAACAAAAACAATAATAATGGAAAAAGGTGCTTGTCCCCTTGAAATGTAATGAGGTGAAAATGTATTTTTTTCTGGTTGCTTAAGTGTCTGGTCAAAATGACTAGCAAAATGAGAGTTTGACCAGACAAACGGTCATCTTAGCCAGACATTGTCCGTTGACTGAGTATTATTTTGACATTTAATTAACATAAAAAATATAGGAGATACCTGAATAGCTGATTTGCACTTTCTGTCACTTCGTCTAACTGAAAAATATTCAGACATCGCAGTCTGTCTTGAATGCACTTCCTCATTCTTCTTCCTGGTTAAAATATCATTAAATATATTAATAATCCTATTGATAATTCACACAAAGCACAGCTCCCTCCTCTGCATCTTATCTTCCCATCATCCACTGTGCTCTGTCTTACATGTGCTATCAGTAATTATTACTATTACTAATTATTACTAAAAGAAGCCTCAGTCTGTGTTTTGCTTTATAACAGACAAAAGCTACTTATGAAAATATTTTTTATCAAGTGATTTTATTCAAGGATTAAGTAAGACTAACAAAATGTTTTCTTACTCTTTTTTCTTTCCTCTTTTAGTTTCTGATCCTGCCTTTTTGTTTCTCCACTTTAACATATCCAATGGGCTCGATACTGTCTTCACCTTTTTCCCATCTGACTTCCCTTTTGGCTCTTTTTCATTTGTCATGTCTTCATCAACGATGGAATTTGATGGTCTTTCTTCAGGTTTTGCCATTTCATTAGATTTACAGTCTGTTAACGAGTCTAGTGAACATGAAGGCTTTTCCTCACTTAATGTGCATTGTTCAATGGAAGATGCTTCCTGTGCTTGTTGTGGAGGCAATGGTACAGCATTGTCAGTTATGTCTTTCATTGCTTTTTCCTCTGGTAATGAGCTGTTAGTTTGGCTTTCCTGCAATGATAGAGTAAACACTCTGAAAAATAATTTAATGAGTTCGAAACATTATCTAGGTTTTAAAAAGCTAGGGCCAGCTATGAAGTCTGATACATTTACCCATAGTAGACCATCACACCTCCAAAATAATTAAGCAAGTAACCATGGACATGCTATAATCCCAAGTTAGAATAAGGCATACATCAGGGTTCATACAGGTCATGGAAAACCTGGAAAGCCATGAAATTTAAGAATATTTAAAAATTTCACTTTCCAGGCCTGGAAAGTCATGGAATTTAATTGTTGGTCCTTGAAATCATGGAAAATTCATGTTACATTTAGTAGATTAGTTACTGCAGATGTCAAAAGCAAGGACAAAGTAAGATAGACACGAGTTATTTTATCAGTGTGAATGCATGGCACAAACTTTGGTGGACACCAGTTTTTGTGTCTGTTGAATTGAGTTAAGATTCCACCAAAACAAGAATAGTTTTGAAAATTTTCAAAAGTGACAGCTAAACTTAAGGTCATGGAAAACTGGATGAGTCCATGGAAAAAGTCAGGGAAAAATCATGGAATTTGAAGAGGTCAAAAGAGTATGAACCCTGTACATGTAAGGGGTGCAACTTTGTTGGCTATCATGCTGAGCCAATGAAGTGAATACCCCATTGTGGGTGTTGTTAGCAACTATTTATTTCATTATCAATGAAGCATAGATGTACAATGTAGCTAGGTCAAAAATGTTGATTGAAGTATGAACAGCTTTCCCAGTAATATTGTACAGTCAAGTGCATGCACATTACACCTTACATCGATGGATAGTCATCCTTTTTTCCCTAAAATGTCGATCACATGACATATTTTTCCCAGGACATGTTATGACAATAAACTTTGCATACACAAGGTCGGCTGTAAAATGCAACAATGTTGTGTTTCGTCTACTGGGGTGTCTGTTTTTTTAACATAATCACCTGAATGCCAGTCTTGTTGGTAGACTCCTGTAACACACTTGCTGCTTGTTGGAACTTTTTATTGGCAGAGGAATTGTTTCTTTTTGCTTTTCCTGTGCAAAATATAAAACAAATAGTGCTTGTGATTTAACAATGTTTAGTTTATACCAAATTGATTGACACAAAAATGACTGAAATGGAGAACTTTACTCAATATTAACTTATTTTATAGTGTTAAGGTGGCATCTCATCTCATGTATTTATGTACCAGTATCCATATACCATCACATGCTATCAAATATAGTCAACCCTCTACAGACACCAAATCATACAAGTAAACAGAGGTAAGTATCTGCGTCACTGAGAAAAGCCGCGTGCAAATGTACACAACATTATTGGCCAACAACTCCCAACATTGTTGGATGTTACGTGTTGCGTCTGTTTGCACATCCTGCTGCATGTTGTTGGGACTTCTTGCACAATGTTTGAAAACAGTCAAATTTTTTAGCTACGTGCAGATGGACGCAACAACTACCAACGATGTTGGGAGTTGTTGGCCGACAATGTTGTGTCCATTTGTACAGGGTTTAAGGGATTGTAGGAAAATTTTGCTGCCTCTAGGTTTGATTAAAAAGAATTTTTTTTTTTCAACACAATCGAAGTTGCGACGCTCGCTTTTGATGAAAAAACGATCTTAGAGATTAAAGCAATGATCACATTGCCATTCGGATCAAATTCGACAAGGTTAGTCGTGCGATAACAGCAACGAAATCTGCTCAAACGTTTGCTGCTCGCCCAGAGTTTTTGTTTTGCTCATTAAACCTGTTGCTTTTTTTAATTTTCTTGTTGATGTCGTCTTTGTCCAGGTTGCTTGCATTACCACACAAAGGAATTCTTGATATGCAGCAATTTTATGAAAAATCGACGATTTGATGAAAAAAGTGCGACAAAAACGACGTTTGCAGCGTACCCATAGAGGGGACCACATGTACGTGTGTTCACCGGAGAGGAGAGGGGGTGTAGAGATGGCAGAGTCTACGACACTTTTAGCCCAATCTATACACTTTTCACGTATGCCTTGTTTCATTACCGTTGATGAACTCATTAGACTCTCCCAGATACATAAGTTATAAACTCCATCTAAGCTTAAATATGCAAGACGTGGTGGCTGAGTCGCTAATTTTTCGCAACTGTACAAAATCGCAAAATCAACGCAAGCCCAGCCTTTAAACTAAACGTTTACGTATAAATTATTGACCAGCTTTTCTAAAATATAAATTAGAAATCAAGCAATTACCTTTGAGAGGCATTTTCTTGGTATTTTTGTCTGTTTGAGTGGCTGAAATTGACGAGTTATTTACAAAATGGACGCCATGATATTACCGCCTCAAATTTGTATTTTGTATCATAACCTTTGATTGGTTCTTTTTTCTTGTCCAATGACAACGCCGCTTTTTTCCAAAAGCGTGCAGGGGCCTCCGGGAAATCTTTCAACGCAAGGATTACTGGGGTGGCGGAAGTTCTCCATCAGAAGCATGGATTGATTGTACACACGAAACACTTTCTAAAATCTTATTATTGTAAATACACAGACTTAAGTTTAGTTCGTTTTTTTTTTTAATCATATACGCGCTTTTTTGTATTGAAATCATTTGAGCGCTTCATCTGTTTCAAGCAAAACGAACGCGGAAACACATGTCTGCTATTTTTTTCACTTAAATACTTGGATTACATGATAGTTTGCCCTGAAACCAGAATTAGAAGGATATAACCCCGTGCTTCTGCCTGAAACAAAATACACTTCCTTGAGGCTAACTTCCGTCCCGGGATTTCCGTAAGAGTATGGGTACATGGTTTCATTCACGATACACGGTGCTAAAAATTTAAGAAATCTATGTATACAGTGATGCGATATTTGCATGAGAAATTTTTTCTTTGAAAGGGAAGGAGAAGCATATGCTTTTGAAGAAAGGAATGAATATTGGAAGCTTTTGCTTCAGGAACTCGTGGCAAATTTTCATTGGCTAAGTCACTCTTCGTCATTCTATTTTGGGAAACACTTTCCCATATTTGGAGTTATGATGAAACTTTCGTCAAAATTTCCTGCTCATTTCGTAGTTAAAAGTAGGGTTGTGTAGGAAGAGGGTAGTTCAATTGTGAAAGTTTTTTTAGATAAAATGGAGTCGAAAACCGTCGATAGAGATGCCGTACTTAATTCACTTGCCCTTAACAACTCAACATCAGATGGACAACCACGAAAACGGAAAAGACTGGATAACTTAACGGCGGAAGAAAGAGCTCTTCGAAGGTTAGCGCGTCGATCGAATGTTCTTGTTGATCAATTTCTTGATTCGATTCCCTCCGATGGTCTTTTACCAGAAGCATACTCCTTGTGGCTGTCTCTTTCATTCCTTCGGTTTAATGAATTCGTTCTTATTTTGCTTAGAAAATTAAAGAATCGCGTGGCAGCACAAACTGCACGAGACAGAAAGAAAGCTCGGATGACGGAACTCGAAGAGATGGTGGCACAGTTGGAGAAGGAGGTATTAAAGCTTAAACTTTCTTTAAAACTACGAAGGTCACATTTGTTGCATCATTTAGTTTTGTCATGCTTTATTTTGTTCAAAGGAAAAAAACTAAGGCCATCGTTAAACGATATCGATAAAAAAATATCGGTTATTTAAAGACATGTATTTGGTTGTCTTTGAATGCTCAGCTTCTTTGCATTGGCGTCAGTAGTAAAGTGATATTGATCATTTTTTCGTTATTTTTTTTCAGTTTCCTTCCTGAATCGTACGAGTAAGATCACTTAGAGTGCTTCAATATTGAATGTCATCTGAAGATAACAAAGTCGATAATATATATGACATAAAATGGTTTTAATATTTTTCCTTTGTGTGGTCATTAACGAGTACCCGGACTTGGTGGGTATCGAATGTTGGTCGATATTGAAGACATGAATGAATTTAGTATGGAAATTGTCTTCAATTATTATTTACAAATATAAGCTCACATCCTAGACTTCACAAAGGTCTTTTGTAAAATTTCAAGGGGGTAATACTACTTTAAAGTATTAATTTGTATCCTAAACCTTCTTTGCATTACTTTTTTTTCAGAATAAAGCTCTTCGCTTAAGCAATGTAAGCTTAAGGAAACACTCTGAGGCAGTAGAAATAGAGAATTCAGAGTTGAGAGTTCGTCTTGGGCTCACACCCCCTGTTTCTCCTGAACCGGTCAACCACACGTACCCACAAAGCCCAGAACCCACACCCTCTAAACCAAGTTCAGTTGTGATCAAGAAAGAAACAGAATGTAATGAGTATGCATCGCTCACAGTTTCTCAGCAGCAGGAACGCCTGATTCTGTTTCTCTCTCTGATCACGACATGGATGATGATCAACAACAGGTATGTAACTTCCGTGCTGGATTTTCTATATGTTATGGATTATTTTTAGAACAGCTTGTACGTGTTGTTGGTAAATTTTTGGATTACCTAGACTGCTAGAGGCAAAAGTCAAATCTCTTGTGTTTAATCACCACTTATTTTAAGCCACTACATATCTACAGTTTTCCCAGTAGTTAAAACCACTTGCATGTAACCAAATCTTGGCACTCAGGGTGGCATGGTAATCCATGCGAGGTTTAGTTGTTGTAAAATCTAATTTTATTTTATTGTGCAAAAAGTATTTAAAACATAGAAAACTGAAGTTTAAGTTAAGTGCTGTCTATCTTTGAATCTTCTGCTAAAACATAGGTAAAGCTATAGAGACAGGTTTTACAGAGGATAACTTGCTCAGTGTGAAGTGATTGCTGATGCGCAGTTGGTATCCAGGATACATATCTGATATTGTGGAATTCGTTGTTTCATAATAGTATTCTTTAAGCCCCCACACAGTGGTTGAATTTGCATCAGAACTTGCAGCTGTTACAATATTTAAGTTCAGGCTCTTTCTGCATAAAATAATTAATGTTATTAATGCCTCATACATTGTCAATGTATTTTGAGATTTTTATTGTCTTAAGTGAATCTATAACAATATTTAAGCCCAAAATTTGGTCCTAGACTGATTTATGGTGAGATGATTTTTCAGATTAACTTTTGTGTCTGTGGACAAAATATGGATGTTGCCTGTTAAATTAAATCTCTCTGGTAGAACCTCTGTGTAGTGCTATTCCTTGGGATTTTTAGATAAAGAAATTTTTTTGTATTTATTTTATTCATAAGCACCTATTAGGAGTGAAAGCATTACTTGCAATGTTTATTATTACTTTTCAGTTTGACATGGGTATTGGCTTTTTTGAAATTGATGAAGCAGGAGAATCTCTGCTTCAGCCCAAACAAGAGGGCAGGTCCTGTTCAACCAGTTGCCAATATGGTGACACCTCAGCCACAGAAGAGCAAGTCCACCACACAGATGATGAGTCAGTCCCACAATCCAGCAGTGACTTAACAGTAGAAGACTTGGTTGGAATAGAATGTGATGGCTTTGATTCATTGGATGACCTCTTAAACTTAAAAGATTTCTCCAAAGAGTTCAAACCGCTTGATGCTGAGCCTGAAATGCTTGGTTGTGAAATGTGGGAGGAGACCTTCACAGATGTTTTGTTTCCGTCTCTTTTGGCTGTCTAAGCCTAGCATTGCAAAAACACTGAGTCAGTATGGGGTGTGAAGTAGTTTATTACACACAGTAATCTGCATTTGCCCTCTTAAGATAGGCCTGCACTGTAGCAGTCCCTTGCGGGCCAGAAATATTGACAGTACCGTGTTAAGCTAATACTGCAACAACAACGTTCAGTTGGGTCGGGCTGGCCACTGTCATAACTCAATAGCCGTACTATGTCAGCAGAATGCCATCCCTAATGCAGAGATAACAGACACTACTTTGGTAGCTTGGAAATAAAATTACTGTCAGTCACCATCAGTCAGTCTAATAATGTTTACATAGATTATTAATAAATATATTGTAGCCAAAAACTTAGTAGGCTTAGACAGCTTAAAATTGATCAATGACTGTTATCATATATGGGAACAAAGTAACATTAGGACCAGTTATTTCTCAAAGAAATAATGGTTTGAATCTGTCAAAAATTGATAATAAAATAGGACACAACTCTGTGAAGGTTTTCTCAAATATAGCTGTAAATAGGCAGTGATATATAAAATTGCACAATAAAGTGTTCTGGGTTTAGCGTTGTAACCTTGTGTGTTGATTTAGTTTGCCATTTTCTTTCAAAACCCACAGATAACGTGTGTCTGTGAAATAAAGTACAATGTAGGAGTTAAAAAGAGCAACAATGCTCTGCTTCAGCATGAATGAAAGATGAAATGGTGTAGTGAAATTTAGTCAGTATACCCCATGTGAATTGATTTAAAAATTTCTATGGCTTCCCCTCCCTAATCAACTGGTTTATTTAGCATACATTTACTATGCTATGATCCCTAACAATTCTCGATCAAGCTTGGGTGCAAAACTACATTCCCCTTGTTATTTTATCACTGAGCTAGTGACAGGAACAAAATTCTTACTGCAGTCACACCTCCCGTAAGCAACCACTCAAAATGCAAAGATTTTGTAATCGCTTATGGGAATTGAACCACAAGAGTTCTCTTCCATTGGTGAAATTTGCCTCGACCAATCAGAAGCACTACCCAGATCTGGGTAGTGACGCATATCAGTATGGAATTTCTGGGCTTGTTTGTCTGTTTTCTCAGGCTACATAGAGATCAAACCATGCCTCAATTAAGTGGTTACTCATTACAGGAGGATAAAAACTGTGGAAAGTTCTAAGGTCGTGGTCGCTTATGAGGGGTGGTCGTTTACAAGAGGTTTGTATCTGTAGTGATTTTGCTGGGAAAATTTTGGTGTTTTGGATAGGCAGTCGCTTATGGGAGGTGGTTCCACATGGAGGTCTGGAACAGCAAGGTTACAAATTGATCTCTTTTTGTCTGGAACAGGTCCAGAGTCTGAAGGACTTAGTAATATACCTCCATAGTAAACCCCCTTGGGGCTAACACAGAGAAGATTTGGGGTGCCAAAAAAAACTAAAGGAGATGGTCACTTAATTTTGAGCTCTCTGTTTTGAAAGGTGTGTTGTTTGTTGTGTAAGCTTATTGCAATGACAGATCCTTCACTGTAGTGTGGGATGCACCAGAAGAGGGAGCAAGGGGTGAGACAGACCTGGAGCCCAGGGAGGTTTTTATCCTTCCCTTGATGTCAGGATACTTTAGGGAAAAGGTGTGGTAAACTATTCTCTTGACAGAATTAACACCCACTCTTTGATTTTTTACAAATAAATTTTACTTGTATTTTTTATTATGATTGATTTGCTATTGATATATCACTAAACATAGCAACATTTCGATCACCTGTTGAGCGTCAATTCCTTGGTATAACATAGACTAAGCAGGGGGTTGTGTGGGTTAGTGCTACGCAGCCACTTCTCCAGTCTCACCCCACCCCCACCTCTTTTCAACGTGTTCTACGACCCAAAATAGCGGCTTTACCACTGAAAATGCAATTGAATTTTGGGCGTGGGAAGAGATCTAAAAGACTTCTGCAAAGTATTGCAATTTTTTTGATGATCACTGCTAAAAAGAAAACACCTGGGATCCAATGGCTGATTAGTTGATTGCCCGGGGGGGTACTTTAGGAATTTGTGGGTGGGGATGTGCCGCTGGTACCCTGGAACCCTTAACCTATACCAGAGCTAATTCAGCTGAATTTTGCTACCCTATACTAGAGTAAACTCCCCAAATCCCCCTATCCTAGAGTAGCTGTTTTCAAGAAACTACTGAGGTCACTAGCATAGTCTAGCCAAAACAAGCTGAGTTGCATAAATTTCAAATTGCCAATTTGATTTTCTTATATGTTTAAGTGGTAATTCCCCGTTTCCCTACTCCAGATAAAATCTTCAACCAACTGATCAGTTTCCTGAAAAATGATACCCTATTCTAGATCCAAACGCTCTGATGTATATACCCTATCCTAGAGTAAACTGCTTGAAAACCATACCCTTCACAGCGGCACATACCTATATAGCCCATATATGGCAGTACCCCCCCGGGGTTGATTGGTCAAAGAAAGGTTATGACGCATTTTGGGAGCTTGTGATTGGATGACCCGAAAATGAAGTACCTTGCAGTTTCGACGCCCTCGGATAGTTCGAACCTATTAGTATCTGAAAACTTTTACTTTCCAAGAGTAACAAGTTCCTTTCTGATCTTTGCAAGAACTAAGGTGAGGGAAGAACTTTGTTGGTAGCTTTTATATATAGTGGATATAAGGATTCCAATAGAACAAGCTGGAGGAGAAGATAAATTGACCATATGCATGCAACCTCACACAGTATCAATTTTGCAAGAGAATGTTGGTTAAAGCTAAAAATTTTTAAAACTTGCATTTTCGATGTCGTTTAATTATAGCCACGAGCGTGGGACCCAGTAGGAAAAATCCCAATCTCACGAGTTTTTCACTGTTAGTTTGTTGTTGCCTTCACACGCCGGGTCAGCTTAGCTTGGAACTAGGATCTTCTCATTAAACCGGGAAAATATGTAAAATTTTCTACTTTGTGAGCGAAATTCCAAGCTTCATAGTGAATACTTTTAAACAATTAACTTTCCATCTAGACAACTGTTAACTGCCAGAGCAACACAGTTATATTTATTGAGATGACAGGCAGGTGCTGAGAATGTGCACGCCTTGCAAGTCTGCAAACAAACTATCAATCCTATTGATTTGGGGGCTGGTACGGGGGCTTGGTTCACACAGCTAAATATGCAATATAAAAATGATAATGCCCGTCTTTGCGAGGACACAGTGATTTTGTTACAAATAGTTATGGTGAGTCTGGGACTCATCTTGTGAAAAATCATGAGGCCCAGTCCAAAACCAATGAGTCCCAGTCTAAAAAATAGAGTCCGAAATTGAAAATGCTTTAGCCTTTGTGTAACCAGACTGTTAACCTGAAGATATACTCCAAAACTCTGTATTACAGTGTACTGAAATTAAAATATATTCCTTCTATTCTAAAGTACAACAAAGGCTAAAAGAAATATGCATCAGTTAACAACAGCCATAATAACTTCCACAGAAATTATGCAAACGGGATATTTCTACAGGTACACATGTTTAGATCAATCGATCGGTCTTTGTGTCCTGTGGGACGCATGCTATGAATTATTTTGGGTCTTTGGGGATTTTTATGCATCAGGAACGCAGGAGGAAGAGGTACCAAAATCACTGGTTAAGATTTAACCATCCTGGGGAAGAATTTATTCAGGGAAAGTGTGTCTGGGATAGAGAAGAAGCTGTGAATAAATCTGTCACATTTTGTTCTGTACCTTTCATATGCCTCCTTAAGGACAACTCACAAGTGCATCCCTTTTCTTAACACTTAGAATAAAGTTTAAAATGACATTATGGAAGGTAAAAGTAAAGTAATATTGTTTTTACATACAAGGTAAGGTGTTTCTGTCCAAAATATTTTAATTATAGGTCCTTTTAAATAGCTATATAACAGATTTTCATACCCTTTCAAATCCTTTAACTCTCTCCCCTTTTGTACACCTGAGGCGTGAAAAGGATGCCTTTTTTTGGGGACGGGGGAGCCTCCCCATGAGACGCTCATACAGAGTACATGTACCACGCCCCTGTCATACATGTTACATTTAGCTGCATGTGTGCCGTAACTGCTTAAGTGATTAAGTGATTAAGAGGGTAGGCCTCTGATCCTTTTTACCCTTTGAATATATAACCATTACATATAACCATTGTTTGATTATGGAAATACCTTTAATTATTCAAACTACATGTAATGTGACTAATCTTGTCACTGTTTTGAAAGGGCTAAGCTTATAGAATGAGTCGTAAAGGAGCTCCCACATCTCAAGAGGGCGAGAGCATCTACCGCATCCCACCATATTACTACATTCATGTCTTGGACCAGAACACCAATGTCACCAAGGTTGAAGTTGGACCAAAGACCTTCATACGGCAGGACAATGAAAAGGTAACAGTACTGGCACTTGGTCTTTTTACATGTTCTGGTACTTTTGTAGACAATATCTCTCAACCAAATGGCCTACAAGAATTTCTATGGTTAGTGCTAAAGATTGGAATAGCTCCTTTTTTTAGGTCTATTATTGGTGAAGGTGCATCTCTCTGTCATGGACAGGACACTGTCTTGATTCCGAAGATAAGAAACCTCTCACCCCATACCTATTCCTGAAAATCAAAATATGTCAACTTTGTACATGAAATGCAAATTCATATGTCTGTTCATCTGGCCCCAGTTTTTAAAAACTGGATAGTGCTATTCACTGGATAAATCTCTATCCACTGGATAGCGTAATTGGTTTCGCTAATACTCATCATTATCTGGTGGATAGTGCTATCCATTGTTTGAACAACCAGGGCCTGGTGTCTTCATATTTATAGAGAAATTTAATTTA